GGCGCCGTGACCGGCGGGATTGTGTCCCTGATCCGCGTTGCCGAGATTCAGTCGCCTGGGACAAACTGACCCCTCACACAGACTTACTAGTTATCGGCAGGTCTCCTTCCCGTGGAATATTGTTAGAAGATCTTCAGCAGGTCCCATGCAAGTGTATTTATGTGTGTCTCTGATCCTGTTACTGCGGAGGTATAGAAAATGCTGCTTGCTCGCCGGCCGCCATGTTGGATCCGAATAATATATTTTTTAAATATATATTTTTTAGTTGTGGATGAACCTTATTTATTTATTTATTTATTTATTTATATGAGGTGCTGAGAATCAAACCAAATACCTCACACATGCTAGGCAAGTGCTCTTCTACTGAGTCATCACCCCAGCCCAATCAATCCATTTTCTATTGTACTATGGTAGAAGAGTAAAGTACATAAAATACATAAGTCTACTACAGAAGCTTGTTGCTTTGAAAAAGCAAAATATAAGAAAAAGGAGAGAGAGAAAGTAGGATTTCAAAAATTCTTACTAACTGAATGAACTTGAGTGACAAAAGTGCATTTTGTTTTATTTTTTTTACTTATTTTTGTACTGGGAATTGACCCAGGGGTCTCTATCACAAAACTACATACCCAGCTTTTTGTATTTTTTATTTTGAGACAAAGTTTCCCTAAATTACCAGACAAGACCTTGAACTTGTGATCCTACCAAGTCAGTGGGATTACAGGCATGTACCAGCCTGCTTAACTCTGAAAGCACATTTTATTTACTTGTTTATTTATTTTGGTGGTTGAACCCAGGGGTGCCTAACCACCAAGCCACATCCCCAATCCCCTGCTGAGTTTTTAAGTTTTGAGACAGGGTCTCACTAAATTGCTTAGGGCCTCTTTAAAGTGCTGAATTTGAATTTGCAATCCTCCTGCCTCTGCTTCCCAAGCTATTGGGATTAAGGCATGCATCACCATGCCCAACTCAAAAGTACATTTTACTTGTAATTTTATAAAACTTAATTAAGTAAATTATTTTCTACAAACACATGAATTGTACCTTGAAAGAACGTAGTTATTAGAATAGATAGAAATGGGGATTAACCTTATTTCTCAATCACAAACTTTCTATCATGAGTAGAGCTTCAAAATATTAATTCTTAAACTAGAAACACTATAAAGAAATAAAATTTAAATGCTATTGCTTTTGTATAATAAAGTATATCTGTTCAGATGAACTTACTCATGCCATTGAAAATGGTTAGGATGCTTTTTAAAATCATAGGATTATTTTAATTAGAATCATTGAGTATTGATATTAGTTGGTAGAAAAAACTTAATTATTTGTAAAATAATACACACTACATTTAACTTAAAATCTCATCAATAATTTTGTTATTCAAAGCTGATACCTTGCACTTTTCAACTTCTTCCTCGATTTTCTCAACAATAGCTGCATCCAGAATTTGTAAATCACAAGAAGAACGAGACAAAGTACTGACAGGATGTCCTTTTAGCCAAGTAATAATTTCTTGAACTTTCTCTGCACTATAGTAACAACAAAAAAACCAAAATATTTTCCACATTTATTAAGACTTTGAGAGCTTATATTAGAGAGCTGATATAAACCTTCTGAGAATTGTGGCAAATTTATATAATTAATAATTAGTGAAATTAACTAAGTCTAATTATAAACCTAACATAAAATGGACATGCTATCTCTCAATAATAAAGAATACAGAAAAAAATCAGTTTAAAATTATTCGCTGACATCAACAAAATAAAATTTCTAATGTGCTGTTAAAGGAAAAATGAAACAATACCAAACAAAACAAAAAGTAACATGAGACTTTTTGATAAACTAGGTGCATTCTCCAAGGAAACCATTAGATTGAATTATGAGTCAATAAATACCATAAATCTTGCTTACCCATTCTCATTTTCTCCAGGCCAAATGTCATCTTCATAGAACACATCCTCTTGGCTATTTTTGGCTATATAACTAAATAGTTCTGGTGCTCTAGTCAAACAAACAAGAAACAATATTGCTGTAAAAACACATATGGCTCATTTCACATAAATTTCCAGGCAATAATTTTAGATCCTGAGGGGGACATGTAACATTACCGAAGAAATATTACAGTATTATTAAGGGACACTTTTAATAAGGAATAGAGACTGAATGATTTGAAAACCTAATACCTTTTAAAAACTCCCAGTGGCTGAGGGAGAAATCCCTAGACTTATAAAATACTTCAATGATGACTCCAATTCTTTGACTACAGTGATAGGAGATAAATGAACAAAAATAATATTTATAAGCTCATTTTCTAATGTTTTCAACAAAGCTGGATCACTCTACAATACAGCAGACCAAAATGGATTAATAGTTTCTTCTGATATTCCTCAAAACTCCATTTGTTTCTGAATAGTGCAGGACTTTCTGGTATATAAAAGCAGACTGAACACGTGACAGTAAAGTATAAAGAAGTCCATACATCTAGAAACACAAAGACAGAAGCAGAGTATCTGATAGCATGTAAGAACTGTTAATGAAATTTCAGAAGTTGGAAACTGGGTGGGCAAGTATTGTAGGTATTCTTAGACAGGAATAAGCTGAATCCTAAATTCCTAGTAGGGGAAGTCACCAATAAGCAATTTCAACCAATTACAAAAAGTGTTCAAGTGCTTTTTTCTTTATGTTTATAAACTGGGCTTAAGGCAAGCATCCTCTATTCTCAAAGTCTCCCAGTTTGTGAATTATTACTTTGTATGCATTTCTTTTGCTTGGTTAATTTCCAGAACACCAGCAGAATACTAGCAGTCAATTTTGTCCCCCACATCCATATTGTGCAAGAAGTCCGGAGGATACCCTCGAGCCTTCTACAACAGAAAAACATAAAAACAATATAAGAAACAAGAACTACAGAACCCTGCAAAAACTCAGGTACACTTGAAGGTTATAGCATGAAGTAAGATTTAATAGGATTTTAGTTGACAGTCATGTATTGGTTACTTGCCTACCACCCCAACAGAAGACCTCATCAAACAGGGGATACCCTAACCTTAGGTACACCAGAACTCAGGCAGCTGGGAAGTGGTAAAGAGGTGCCATGATGAAAACGGGATTAATGAAAGCATAAATCCTATATGATGCATCACTAAGAAGCAGAATGTCTCTAGGAAGCCGACTCTGAGATGGAGATAAATATACAGGAAGTATATAGTAGAAAGTGCTTGTGGAATTAACATGTGTGGAAGGGTAAAGAGAGGAAGGAAGCAGAACTGGGCACAAGGAGAAACTAAGTTGTGATTCATTCTGCAAGAATTCCCTGGCCAACCTATAAAGATCTCAAATTTGCATGGCCCTTCAGACTTGTCCTGAACTGGAGTAATCAGGTTGCTTGGACATTTATCCTGCCTTCTAGGTCAGGTACTGGATCTGTGGCTACTGTAGAAAGGGCATGCAACTTTAGGAATTCTTGAAGAGGGTTAGCAGCTGGGAGCCCTCGTTACTGCTGTGAGGGGACCAGGCCATTCAATCCTGAAGAGAGATATGAGGGGTGTATCACAGTAACCACTTGCTAGTGAGGCCTTTTCTCCAGTTTATTTCCAGAAAACTAGCAGTTAGTTTTGTACCCCACATCTATGGCACAAGGGAAAGGCTGAAGGATATCTCTCTTGGAAAATTAGCCAAAGAGAAAAGAAATATATATGGAGTGATACCAGGAGGTCCTTTTTAGAAATAGCGAAGTCCTATGTGTTATAAGCCCCACTCAAGTTCACTTTCAAAATCCTGAGGGAAAATGATCTCCAATCCAAACAAGCATAGGAGAAAAATAAAGGCATTTCCTGGCATGCAAGCTTTCTCAAAAAGCTAACAGAGTTAAATGCTTCATCAAAATGGAGTCATAAACAAGAAAAGAATACAGTGTAGGAGTCAGAAAAAAGGCGGCATCCTACACAGAGGAAGGTGAAGGGAAACTCTAGGATGACAGTAAAGGGAAATTCCAGAATGAGAGCTGTGCAACAGCCCTAGAGAGCAATCAGTGTGCCAATGAGGCAGGATGATGTAAGGTTCCAGAAAAAAGTCTTTAAAAAGAAAATGGAATTTAGAGATCCCCTGATCTGTTTGACAGTATTGAGTTTCAAAGCTATGGCACAGTTTAGGACTGAATTATTTATATAAATTTACATAATAAGCAAATAATAAAGCATCAGAGAAAATATGTATAAGAAAGGAATGTAATCATAATACTCCACAAGGTCCAGCTGTGAATATTTATCATAATCAAATAAATCTTAAATATAGATTTAACTAAAAAATGTGATAAAACTCTAACAAGAGGAGGAGTATGTCTGTGGGGATGTGAGGAAATGGGGAAGACCTAAAGCTCAATTAAAAGTATCTCAAAATAGATGAATGGCAGGTCATGGTGTCACACATCTATACTCCCAGCAACTCAGGAGGCTGAGGCAGCAGGATCATAAGCTCAAAGCCASCCTCAGCAACTTACTAAGGCCCTAGGCAACTTAGTAAGATTCTGTCTCAAAAGATAAAACAGGTTGGGGATGTGCCTCAGTGGTTAATTGCCCCTGGGATAAATCCCTGTACCCAAACAAAAAACAAACAAGCAAAGAAAAATCAAATTAGATGAATGGGTATGTGAAGTTGAAAAAAAAAAAGATGTTTAAACATGGACCTTTTGATGCAATATGAAAGTAAATAGAAGAAACAATCTAAATTTTTAGATGGTAGTAGAGAATTGACCCCCATTCTCCATCAAAAAATATAGAATGTGTTGTGGGTATGGTGGTGCACACTTGTAATTCCAGCAACTCTGGAAGCAGAGGATTCCAAGTTTGAGACCAGTCTCAGCAACTTAGTGAGGCCCTAAACAACTTAGTGAGACCTAGCTCAAAAAAACAAAACAAAACAATACAATAAAAAGGGCTGGGGATGTAGCTTAGTGATTAAGCATCCTTAGGTTAAATCCCTGGGGGGGAAAAGAAAAGAAAAAAATATATATGTAAATAATGTGACTTTATTTGGAAACAAGGATTTTATAGAGGCAATCAAATTAAAGTGGAATTATTAGGATGGGCTCTAATCCAATAAATAGGTGTCCTTATAAAGGGGGAAATGTAGACACTCATATAGGGAGAACGGTCACCTGATGATAGAGGATTGGAGAAATTTATCTACAAGCCCTATTGCCTTTATAAGAACTACTGCTCTGTTGATATCTTGATTCAGGTCACCAGAACTGTGAGACAATAAGATCATGTTGTTTAAGACACTCAGTTTATGATACTTTGTTAGGGGAGTCCTAGAAATTCTCAAATATAAGAGCTCCTCGATAAGGTCAGAAACCAGGGGAACTATGGAAAGAACATTAAATTGTGAGAAGAGGGCATATTTCCTGTTAATCTTAGTCACTAAGTAACTCAGTTAACATTTACTAAAGGGCTGGGGATGTGGCTCAAGCGGTAGCGCGCTCGCCTGGCATGCGTGCGGCCCGGGTTCGATCCTCAGCACCACATACCAACAAAGATGTTGTGTCCGCCGAAAACTGAAAAACAAATATTGAAATTCTCTCTCTAATAATAAAAAAAAGACATTTACTAAAGAAAATGTTAACATGTTTACAAAAGGAATGTTAACACAAATGTGCTGCTGCATATTTTTCTAAAGAATTACTTCTAAAACTGGTATAAGGCAAGACAAAATAAATAGTATGTTCCTAAGTTTCTGGCTATCTATTGCAATCTTTTGTTTTGATACTGGCATCTGAACCCAGGGGCACCTTATGACKAGGCTACACCCCCCAGCCCTTTTTATTTATTTTGAAACAGCAGCTCGATAAGTTGCTGAGGTTAGCCTTGAACTTGTTATCCTGGAGCCTCAGCCTCCCTACATGCTGGGTTTATAAGTGTGTGCCACTGTGCCCTGCCTAGTAGAATCTTGCCAGACACTTACCTCTCTAAGTACTCAGCAAGAAGTTGTTCTGCTGCAGATGAGTACATCCATTCACTTCCAACTTTCTTAGTATATCCAGGTACCTCTTCATTTTTTTTGTTGAATTTGAGATTTAAACCCACATTTGCTTTATGGTCTCCATGAGGACTAAATTTAAACCATACACACAAACACACATACAAATTTTAAAAACTTGTTCAAGCAGTGAAACGTTTCCTTTCTACTCTGTTTTTATGTTCTGTATTTTAATTATAGTTATTTTCAATTAGCAGTAATTGAAAAACTAGAGGAAAGGCTTCAAAACCTACATCAACAAACTATGTAAATAAATTATGTAGTGATAGAGGATAATGAAATAAAATGCAAGGAAATTTATTATTGAGGTTCCACACACACCCTCTGATACCTTTTTTCAAGGTTCAATTTGTTAGCTGCTAAAAATAAAAGCTATCTTTCCAACCATCTAAAACATGCCGTTCAAGTAAAAGATCATCATCAGAGGAAGTGATACACAATTTTAAAAGAAAATCCACACGGGCTGGGGTTGTGGCTCAAGCGGTAGCGCGCTCGCCTGGCATGCGTGCGGCCCGGGTTCGATCCTCAGCACCACATACCAACAAAGATGTTGTGTCAGCCGAGAACTAAATAAAATAAATATTAAAAATTCTCTCTCTCTCCCCTCTCTCCTCTCTCACTCTCTCTTTTAAAAAAAAAAAATCCACAGCAATTAATAAGAAAATAAATATTGAAATACTAGGCATTTAATCTTTATCATTTATTTTTCTGCCACTTTAAGTACATTTTTCTAACAAAAACTTACTTTCTCCTAGATCCTCTTCCAATAAAAATACTTCCTGTAAACCTTGAAACAAGGTATCCACTCACGCCAAGGCGACTGGCCAACACATATCCTGGGTTGTACTTTATAGAATATTTCTTTAAATATAAAAACAAAAAGGTCAATTATGTAAACACAAATTCACATTAAATATTATTTCTTTACCTTTAAAATTTGGAGATAATCAAGACATCACTAACCATTGGATTGTGGCAATAAAAGGATTCTCATTTAGATCCATTTCCCCTTTTTTTTTGAAAGGAACTGAAGGCAGAATTTTTCTGCTCCTCTCTTTTTCTCCTTAAAGAACAGAATTCCCAAGGATGGATGAAAGGGGGAGGAAATATACAGTTTGTGAAACTGTCTTAAGAAATAAAACTCTACTGTAAGTACTAAATGGCAAACTCCTCAGGCAAGAATTTTTTATAAACTTATTTTTATATTCCAAGCAGGGCTGAGTAAAGTACCATGGACAAAATGAGGCCTTAATAACTATCATGCTGAATTAAAACATAAGTATGTCATCAAAATAATTATAATTGAGCAAAATTAAAATATTTTTCATACATGGATATAAGTAATATTCTTTTCCCCTAAATACTTACCAAAGTAATAAGTATGTATAGTCTCATAATTAATAAAGTCAATGAAAATAAATCTAAATTTGTATAGGAGATAAACCATAAAAATTGTCAAATTAACAAAAAAAAGTAACTGTAGCACATGCCTATAATCCAAGTGACTCCAGAGGTAAAGGCAGGAGGATAGCAAGTTTGAGGCCAGACTTGGCAATTTAGCGAGACCCCATCTCAAAATAAAAAATAGAAAGGACTGAGAATGTAGCTCGTGATTTTGCAGCCCTGTGTTCAATCCCCAGTACCATAAAACCAAACAACCCCTGCCCCCAAACAGATAATCTAATTTTTTTTAAAGAATTTTAATATTTATTTTTTAGTTTTCGGCAGACACAACATCTTTGTTTGTATGTGGTGCTGAGGATCGAACCCGGGGCCGCACGCACACCAGGCGAGCGCGCTACCACTTGAGCCACATCCCCAGACCATGATAATCTAATTTTTAACCAGGATCAAGTAATTTGCAAATCCAGTACCAACTATCATATACTCTTTATATAATGTATACAGAAATAACACATTAATTTTTATACATATATTAATTATATGAATAGCTTATATTCTCAATTTATGCACATATCTGATATGAATATAAGGAAATTTTACTACCAACAAAAACCAAATATCTAGAGATTGGTGAGGAATTAAATGAGCCACCATTACTTTATTGATCATATTTACAATGACCCCCCCMCACACACACACACCTCCAATGAATAATTGTTTTTGAGGGTCTGGAATATAAAGTTATTAGTAAATTGTGTAAATATGTTAGTAAAGAATATAACATGTTTTTTTTTCCATAAAGTACACCATTAGATTTGGAATAATACAAATCAAGTATGTATTCCATAACAGTTTGTGTATTTACAAGTTGTACCACTTTTGTAATAAGCATTTGGAAATATGTCATGGAACACTGAGTTATAATAATTGGATGGGCTACTAGTATTTAATGCCCAGAGGCCAAAGGTGTCAAATGACCTTTCATATACATAAGAGTCCTATTTACATAATTAACCCCTCCCCCACATAATTGTCTTGCTCCAAATACCAACAGTACTCCTTTTGAGAAATGCTGAACTATGCTATAATTAAACATTAATTAAAATTATCACAACCCACAGATTATAAAAAATTATATATAGCTGAAGAGGTTGGGGTAGAGAAAGATGGAGGATTGAATAAAAATTAAAAGAAAGCATGTAAATAAGACAGGAAGTGTACTGGAGCAGGTATCCTGACCAGCACTCTATGCTACAAGTGGGTAGGCTCTGGATCTGGAAGCCAGGGATGAAGAAATGCAGGTTCTTCCACCATCACCAACTCCCAGAATAAAATTCCAGTTTTTCTGTCTGATGAGCCACTCTGATGGTTTCCTGACTATACTGTCTATATTTTCTCTTAAGTAGATACCTGATGGTAAGATTTTTTTTCCCCGATGAATAGGGACATCTCTGCTTTCTATATATAAAGTTTCCTCATGGTGTGCTGATTCTTAATGTCGTAAATTTACTTCACAGGATATAAAGCCCTGGATTTTACCAAATAACAGCAAAAGTAGCAAAAGCTGGTTGATGGTGAATTAATTTCAGTCAAGTTAATTATTGGGTCATTAATAAAAACAAATGATAGCTATCAGAAACTTCACCCTATTTTTTAAAAGATATTTTTTTAGTTTCAGTTTACACAATACCTTTATTTTACTTGTTTATTTATATGTGGTGCTGAGGATCGAACCAAGGGCCTCGCACGTGCTAGGCGAGCACTTTACCGCTGAGCCACAACCCCAGCCTCAACTTAGCCCTATATTTACAGAGTAAAAGAAGGCCAGTAAACATTTTTGGAGGAAAAGTCCTAAAAAAAGTTGCAGTGAATTTAAATTCAGTTTCCCAATATTCTCTAGGATTGAGACTGTCTATTTTAGCTGAGTAAAGATAAAGAACCTTCATAGAAAGGCCACTGGCCACTGTAACTAAAAATGCGGGCTTTGAATTACTATAAATTAATAAGGGGATTTCAGTGACTTTTTTCCCCTTAAAGATTTACATGAGGGCTGGGGGTATATCTCCCTGGCAGAGCACATGTCTGGCATGCATGAGTTCCTGGGTTCCACCCCCAGCACTGCAAAGAAAAAAAAAATTTATTTTTTCCATGCTAGGGTTCAAACCCAGAGACTTGCACATGCTAGATTTACATGAATTTTTAAGGACAGATTTCATATTTATTTTTAAAATATTTGAAATAAAATTTTAAAAGGTGGCAACAATGTTCTAACATTTTAAAAGTTTAGTGATATTCTAGAGAAGCAACATGAACTACTATACTCACATGCTGGTTCTGTATTAGAGCATCAAGGTTGGGCTCATAGGGAATGCTGAAAACCACACGAATCCTACCTTCTGTAATAACATCACCTGAATCTTGAACCTACAGGAAAAAATAAAAACAACACCACAATATGTTTTAGTTTCTTTCGTTACATTTTTCTACTTATCTGAATGGTATTATTTCTAAAATATGCTATGACAATAAAATGAATAGTGGAAAGCCTCCTGGAATTTTTAAGTGGAAGTGATAATATTTTGAGTCCTTTTATTCTTTCTTTAATAGCTGTTAATCATTCTTTTTCAAATTAACTTATTTGGAAATTATTTCAAAGAACAAAAAAATTACTAAAATTAAAATAGTATGAAGAACACTTACAAACATTGGCCAGACTCATTTATTAACATTATAAAAAAAATGGCTTTAACACTTGTGTACTGTGTACATTTACATACATGCAATATATTTCTGGTTCTGTATACATCATTTTTGCATTCATCTGTTTTTGTAAACAACATACTCCTAAACCTCTAAATATTTCAGTGTCTAGTTCCAAAGAAGTAAGTTTTATTACAAAACCACAATAGTTATTAAATATATAAATTTAATACTTTTATAAATATTATTTTATCTAAGCCAGTGTTCATATTCCATTTTGTCAGCTGACTTAATGATGACCTATATGGAATTCTGTTCTCTCTCTTTTACAGGATCCAGGCTAGGATCAGACATAGCATTTAATTGTTTCTTTAGCATTCTTTATCTGGAATATATCCAGGACTTTTCTTTGTTTTTCATAATACTGACATTTTGGAAAAATAAAATTCATTCTTCCCTCTTGACTCTGCTTTAAGAAAGAAAAAAAGAGAGCTCCTTATTTTGGATTTGTTTGATGCTTCTTTGCAATTAAGTTACAGCCAGAATATTGTATAGGTGATATCTCTTTCTTAAGGTGTCATATATGGAGGTACACAAGGTTTACCTGTCTCTCACTGTGATATCAACATTGATCATACTATCAACATGCCACTCAGTTTCTTCACTGAACAATTTGTTTCTCTTGCACTTAATAAACTGTCTCTGGAGAGAAACTTTTTTAACCATGGAAATACCTGCTCCTGATAAAAATTCTCCCTAGCTTTAACTTCCAAGGCTGTCTCTGTTACTCAAAATATTTTTCCAACACTCACACTCTCTTCCATTTACTTTAGACACGATATGGTAACAAGAGCACTTCTCTTTCCCATTTATTTTTTATTATTATTGAGGTATCATGAATTCCCATTTCCCACCAGTGATTAATTCATTACTGTGTATAATTATTTTGGTTTTCTGTCCCAGACTTGGCCTGTGGGAGCCCCTTTAGCCTGGTTCCTGTGTTTACATGACATGCTTCCATTGTTCTTTTGAGCACTTCTTACTTTCTGGCATAACAAGGTATTCCAGATACACATCCTGTGTCTTCCCTGCCCCACACTTAGAATCCACTATTTCACTGAGAAGCACTGATGTTCCCTTTTTTTGGGATATGGTATTACAGGTCAAGATCTGGTTGTTACATTGCTAATAGGTGGCTTTGCTTATTATTATTTTGAACAGAGCTAAAAATTTATGCATGTACGAACACACATGCATACACACATATTTTAGAAATCAAGAATTCACACTGCATCTCCAAATCTGTCTCCATACATTCTTTCTCTCATTCCATATTTGCAGTACTTTTCCCCTCAAAACATCAATATACATAGAAATCATTCAATAACCCTATAACATATCTAATAATCTCATAATTGTTTCATTGATGTCACCACAATAAAAAAACATTTAAAAAAAGATCAGGATTTGAATTCTTCATTGCTACCTACTGACCCTAAACTTCTCAAGACTAAAGATACGATTCAAATACTGAGTTCATAACTTACACAAATGAATTCTTTATTTTTTCCCTTTGTGTTACATTTTTGCCTCTAAATAAAGACAAGTTAAATAACTCTATGAATTTGAAAGCAGGCAGAAATTTAATTAGTAGCAAATGTGAAACTAACTTCTCCAGTGCAGCCATAATATGGAGTTCCCAGCATAAATACCACACTTCTAGGAGGAAACAAATCATCCAGTGTTTTGATATTGGAGAAACGAGAATCAAAAGCTCGGATGTCCTACATAAAATGAAATATAAAAGTAAATCATCACAGTCAAAATTTCTATAGTTACATGTCATTATTTTTCTTATAAGATTATGTTTATGCTGTCTGCTAAATGTCAAATGTGAAGATTTTCTACATAACAATATTAGAATCTGTAACTTATTGACTGGATATACACCCCGCACTCTTCTAGGTACTTCACACATTTATTTAGTTCATTTAATTCTCAACGCTACCCTCTGTGGCAGAGACTATTATTAACCCCACTGTACAGATGAAGAACCTTGCTGGATCTATGATAAAGGTTAATTTGTAAATTAGGCAAATAAGAGAATAGAACATTTATAACAATATACTATAGTAAATGTTAGGTGAATGTGGTCTCTCTCAAAATATCTTATATTGTTCTCATCTTTCTTCTTGTGATAATAAAATGCTTAGATGATGAGATTGAAGTGTGCTCAATGACTAAGCATTCAAAACACACTGTGGCCATAACTTTTGTAGTTTGAAGTGCAACAGCAAAGCTAACACAGACTTACTTTTCTGTCTTCACAATTTTATAGACAGAAGATTCATTTTTACTATAATCTTAGCAACTTTATTAGCATTTGTTTTTTTACCTTTCTTATGTTGAGAACTTTACTTTTTCACTTAAAGAAAGCACTTTAGGGGGCTGAGGATGTGGTTCAAGTGGTAGCACACTCGCCTAGCATGCGTGAGGCATTGTGTTTGATTCTCAGCAACACATAAAAACAAAAATAAAGATATTGTGTCCATCTAAAAAACTGAAAAATAAATATTAAAAAGAAAAAAAGAAAAAAGAAAGCACTTTAGGGGGCTGGGATTGTGGCTCAGTGGCAGAGCGCTTGCCTTGCACATGTGAGGCACTGGGTTCAATCCTCAGCACCACATAAAAATGAATAAACAAAATAAAGATATTGCATCCGTCTATAACTAAAAAATATTWAAAAATGGAAGCACTTTATGGCTTCTCTTTGGCACATACTAATGGTCTTCTTCACTACTATTACATTTTGGGGTCATTGTTAAGAAAAATAAAAGTTATTGCAGTATAATATTGCAATAGGTGATCTGATAACAGAAATGTCTATTAGTGACTAATGGATAGGTAGCATATTCAGCATAAATATGCTGGATAAAGGGGTGATTCACATCCCCAGGTGGGACAATATAAGATTCCATCATATTACTCAGAATAGTGGCCAATTTAAAACTTATGAATTATTTAATCCTGGCATTTCCATTTAATATATTTTAAAAAATTTTTAGTTGTAGAGGGACACAATACCTTTATTTATTTCTTTTCATATGGTGCTGAGGATCAAACCCAGTGCTTCACACATGCTAGGCAAGTGCTCTACCACTGAGCTACAACCCCAGCCCTCCGTTTAATATTTTTAGACTCTGGCTGATTGACGGTAACTGAAACTGTAGAAAGCAAAACTTTGGATAAGCAGGGACTACTGCATTTAAATTTTTTCTCTCTTACCATGTCTAAGAATATAAACAGAAAAATAAATGCATTTTATGTTAATTTGTTTATTTAAGGTAAATATTTTTGAAGAAAACACACCTGAACTGCAAGGGTAAAATTAATGCTGTAATTTTCTTTTAAAGATTAAGTCCTTAAAAAATACCCCAAAGAAGCTGGCATGGTAGTGCCTGTCTTTAATCAGCAACTCAGGAGGCTAAGAAGATAATCACATGCTTGAGGTCATCCTCAGCAACTTAGCAAGACCCTGTCTCAAAATAAAAAACAAAAGCGCTGGGTATGTAGCTCAGTGGTAGAGCGCCTTGGTTCAACCTCCAATACTGAAAACAAACTAAAAAGTCCAAAAGAGAAGTTTCCACAGTGTACAGTGAGTGTCTGAGCATAAAATACTTTTCTACAGATTAATGTACTTTGCAAATTATATTAAAGAATAACCTCTACTATATATTGTTGAGTTAGCCTATTGATAAATATTAATGTCAGTCTTTTTTATACAATGTATAATATAGTATACATTAAGATGAAACTAAAACTTGATGAACACCTACCTTGACAATAGTTTGATAAACAAAAGGAAGAACTTGTTTTGACCACTGTTTTTCTAGACGAACTTCACCATTTTGACTTATTTGATATTTACGGCCTGTGAGTAACTGAGCATACACAACTGCAGATGTTTCATTTATTATTATTCCTTTTCTTCTCAGGTAACTAAAAGAAAGAATTAAAAAGAAATATACCTATGTATAAGTATGTATATAGTCTAAGATGATAATCGTTCGAAACTACCAACTCATAATCAAATGTTTAAATAAACTTCAAATAAATATGCTAGCATTTCTGCATGCCTAACTAAGTTAATGCAGTATTTATTTTAGTCTAAGGATACTTCTTCCACTGTCTATGTGGTTAAATGAGAAACGAGAGAGTCATAAGAAACTCCTGTGTTTTACATTCTCTAGGATGGCTGTACTTACAACACAGGAAAACAAGTGTTGGTGAGAATATGGAGAAACTGGAATACTTGTACACTGTGGATGGAAATGTAAAGTGGTACAGCCGCTATGGAAAACAGTTTGACAGCACCTCAAAAAAGTAAACACAGAATTACCTTAGAACCCAGTAATTCTCACTCCGGTCAAAATGCCAATTATCAAGAATACAAGTAACAATAAAGGTTGGTGAGGGTGTGGGGAAAAAGGTACACTCATACACTGCTGGTGGGACTGCAAATTGGTACAGCCATTCTGGAAAGCAGTATGAAGTTCCTCCGAAAACTTGGAATGGAACCAACGTTTGACTTAGTTATCCCACTCCTCAGAATATACCCAAAGGATTTAAAATCAGTATACTACAGAGACATAACTACATCAATGTTCATACAGCTCAATTCATAATAGCTAAGCTATGGAATCAACCTAGGCGCCCTTCAACAGATGAATCAATAAAGAAAATGTGGTACATATACACAACGGACTATTACTCAGCCATAAAGAAGAATCAAATTCTGGCATTTGCAGGTAAATGGATGGAGCTAGAGAATATCATGTTAAGTGAAGTAAGCCAATCCCCCAAAACCAAAGGCTGAATGTTTTCTCTGATATGTGGATACTGATTCACAATAGGTGTCAGGGAGGAAAAGTGGGGTTCACCTAATTGGACGGGGGAATGGCGGGGGAAGAGAATGGGAAAGACAGTAGAATCAACTGAACATAACTTTTCTATGTTCATATAAGAATACACAACCATTGTAACTCCACATCATGTACAACCACAAGAGTGGGAAGTTGTACTCCACCCATATATGTCAAAATATATTGTGTTATGTATAACTAAAAAAAGAATTAAAACCTCCCCCAAACCCATAAATTCTATATCTAAGTGTATACTCCCCCAAACTGAAAACAGGTATTCAACAAATACTGGTAAACAAATGTGCATAGTAGTACCATTCAAAAGAGGAAAAAACCTAAATGTTCGTCAATAAATGGATAAACCTCTACAAAAAAGTGCTAAGCCTATATAATGGAATATTATTCATTCAGCCACAACCAGAAACAAACACCAATAGATGTGTCAATGTGTATGAACTTCAGAAACATGCTTAGTGAAAGAAATCAGACATAAAAGGTCACATATTATATGATTCTGTTTATATAAAACATCCATAATTATTAAATTTATAKAGAGAGATTAGTTTATACGCATCAGTCCGGTCTTTTCCATCTAAAGCAAGGGTATGCAAATGACAGCAATGGACCAAACCCAGAATGCCTTCTGCTTTTTTAAACAAACCTTTACTGGAACATAGTTATTAATTACATACTGTGTATGGCTACTTTTGTGCTATAATGGCAGAGTTGAGTAGATGTGACACATATCATAAAGTCTATAAGGCCTGAAATATTTACCACCTGGCCTTAATGGAAAAGTTTGTAGGTCCCTGATCTAAAACATTTAATGGATATTTTCTTATCTCTTTTCCATTTTTTCCATTTAAAATAATCAGGCAGATTCTATAAACTCCAACTATACTCTTATTTCTTTGTGCTATTGTAATATTTGCTGGGAACTTCTCAGCTTTTTCTTTTAGTTCACTAATTTAAGTTCTAGTATATTCATATTATTATTCAGACCATCTACTGAGCTCTATATAATAATCATATTATTGAATTTTATGTATGACTACACATAAATATATGTATTATATACTATATAACATACATACTACATAAAATTATTATATATACTATATAGTATATATAGTATATATACTATATATACTATATAGTATATATTATATATAGTATATATTCTTACATATATATTTCATAATAGTTTCTCTAAGATAAGAATTGTTCTGAAGTAAGTCACATATCTTAGCCAGAAATACAAGTTATCTAACAAATTTCTGAAGTGGAAATTTCTTAAAAATTCATCTGTTTCTCTCATTCCATATCTGCATGTACCTAAATCAATTATCATGCTGTAGTTTGACCAAAATCACATGTTAATATCTATCCCCATCCACCCACTGTAAGTTTCATGAGTGTTTTTGTACATGTTTTTATTCATTGTTGTAACCACAGTGCCTACTACTAACCCTAGCAGTATTGATACTCAAATATCAATATGTTGACTATATGAAAAAATTGACTAAACTCTTTATCTGAAGTATATGGATAAGTTTCGTTTTTTTTCCAATTAAAAGACTCTTGACCAAAACAATATTCATTCAAACAATTATTAAGTACCTACGTACTAGCCAAAAAATTAGAATAAAGTGGTCAAAAAAGCAGATATGTTCTACCCTTACAGAGCATATTCATTTACGGTATCTAAGGAGAGACTTATTAATCACATAGTTTATTATGATTTTATTTATGTGAAAATAAGAAAATTCAGAAGATATACCTTATGGTAGGATTATATAATTCATATTATATAATTATATATTTATATTCTTGAGAGGTGAAAATATATTCTACCTTTATCTCTTGAGATCTGTGTTTATATGCTTTAATGCTGAATGGTCTGTATACATTTTTCCTGTGTACTCATCTTTGAGTAGGGGCATTAAGCAAATTATTAGCTCCTGAATTATAGGGGAGAAGTATCCTTGAATTCCCCCCAGATTTATTAATGGATTTTCCTACAGATTAATCAGAACTTGCTGACGTATATACATTTATAACACAATTTCTTGTGCTGCTGCTCGTCTCAATTATTCTGTTTTGATTTTGAGATCTCCAGTGTTTCGATAAAGAGGTGTTGTTAGGGTGGGATCATAGGACACAAAGCACTGTAGTGACCTAGAAAATCAGCACTGCAAGGATGGAAGTTCTCAGTCTGGTTAGAAGTTACAGGATGCATTTCTAAACTGTGTAAGGATGCGGTAGAGGGAGAAGGGAGGAATAGGGAGAGAATGAATATGAGGAACAGAGAGGATCTTCCTTCCGATTTTTATTACTTACACATGGCCAAGAAATGGCCTTATGGTTAATGGAAATAGCACTAAAATTTAGGCAACATATTAAGTTATTTCTAGCATTAAGTGATGATATTATTTCATTTTTTCCCTTATTTCACTAAGTATTTTAGTGACAAACTGGTGAAGGCTATAACTGCTGTGAACCAGATATTATTTTAAACTATGGCTCACTGTTTTCTTTAGAACACAAGATGAGGACAGTAAGTGTTCAGAATAACTACTATGGTAAGTGGAAATAAGTTAGAGAATGAATACATTTAAAATTCTAGTTCTAGAATGTTAAATTCTTTTTACAACACTTACTGTTCTGAAATTCCTTGTATTTCTTTTGTCCAGTTAGATTGTTCTTTGTCTCCAAGATGGATTACTTTAGATGGTGGCACAGTCCTTCCCAAATAAAGCTTCTGTGTTCCTGGAGGTTCTTCTAAGTAAAACCTTAAAAATTAAAATACAAAGTATTTAATGCCAAATTTATGCTTTAATATAGAGTTCTAGAAGTATGAATGTCCAAAGTGAAAAAATTTCTATATAGTACAACAGCAGGAAAAAAAAAAGGCTTTTTTGAAACTGTAACATATATTATAGAATAAGGACTTCTAAAAAATTCAAAGCTAGGTGCAGATGCATGTGCCTTGTAGTCCCTCAGGAAGCTGAAACAGGAGGAGACCCCACGTTGGAAATCGAACTATACAACAAAACAAGACCTCATCTCATTAAAAAAACAAAACAAATGCATTTATAGTCACTTCAAGAAAAATTAAATACATAGGTATAAATATAACAAAACATGTACAAGACTTGTATAATAAAAAACGAAAACACTAATGAGGGCTGGAGATGTGGCTCAAGTGGTAGCGCGCTCGCCTGGCATGCGTGCGGCCCGGGTTCGATCCTCAGCACCACATACAAACAAAGATGTTGTGTCTGACGAAAACTAAAAAAAAATAAATGTTAAAAATTCTCTATCTCTTTAAAAAAAAAAAAATAAAACACTGATGAAAGAAGTCAATGAGTTAAATAAAGAAATATATGTTCATGGATTAGAAGACTCAATATTGTAAAGATGTCAAATCTCCTCAAACTGATTTATAGGTTTAACAAAATTTCTAAAAATATCCCTCTAAGATTATTTATAGACATATAATAATTTATTCTAAAATTTATAGAGAAAGGCAAAGAACCTAGAATAATTAAAACAATTTTGAAAAAGAAAAATAAGGTCAAGAAATCACTTTACCTGATGTTAAGACTTTTCTATATAATAATCAAGATAGTGTGGTACACACTTTAAAATAGACTAAAATATACCAATGGAATAGAGAACCCAGGAAAGTTGCATACAAATATACTCAACTTTTTGTTTCAGTACTGGGGATTGAACTCAAAGGCGCTTAACTACTGAGCCACATCCCCAGTCCTTTTTATTTTGAGTCAGAGTCTTGCCAAATTGCTGAGGGCCTCACTAAGTTGCTGAGGTTGGCTTTGAACTTGTAATCCTCCTGCCTCAGCCTCCTGAACCGCTGGAATGAACTACTTTTTTGCAGTACTGAAGATTGAATCCAGGACCTCACATATGTTAGAGAAGTAGTAAGCATATTCCCACCCTTTTTCATTTTTTAAATTCTGAAACAGAGTCTTATTAGGTTATCCAGGCTGACTCTGACCTTGCAATTCTCCTGCTTCAGCCACCTGAGTAGCCAGGCTCTAGGTGATTTTTCACAAAGATGCAAAAGCAATCCAATGGAGGAAGAATAGATTTTTTACCAAATGCCTGCAGCAACTGAATATTCATAGGCAAATATACAAAACTAGATCTAAATCTCATACCTTATACAAAAATTAACTCAAAATTGATCTTTGATTTAAGGTAAAACTATAAAACTTCTCAAAGAATATTATCAAGTCTTTGTGACCTAGGGCTAGGTGAAGAGTTCTGAGACTTTTTACCAAAAGCACTAAAAAAAAAAAAAAAAAAAAAGGTAAGTTGGATTACACTGAAAAGGTAGGAGAACTGAATCTGAATTTGATGATTCAAAAGGAATCCTCAAGATTTCACACAGAAAAGCAGACACTTATCAGAGGTAAAAAAAAAAAAAAATCACACTGGATTGACTTTTCATCAACAACAGTACAAAACAGAATACAATAGAGAATATGTATGCTGAGGTAAGGAAAAAGGACCCAGCATCTAAAATTCTAAATCCATTAATGAAGAAAACAAAAAAAGATAGTCTGGAGATGTAATCACCCAGAAAACAACACCAACCCATTTATTTTCTGAAAAAATTTGTTTCAGAAAGTTTTAACCACACAAAAAATAACAAAAGAACAAGAAATCAGGACAAAAATGCTTATAGGAAATAATTAATGATCAAAAATGACAAAGAAAAACTTGTCTAAATATTCTCTCATGAAATGACTGTGAGGGGGTGGGAAGACGGGAGGGAAGTGCTGGGGAGTGATATTGGCCAAATTATATTGTGTGCATGTATGAATATATAACAACTAATTCCACCATTATGTAAAATGAAATTTTTTTTAGTAAAAAGAATGTGGAGAAAAAAAGCCATGTAAGAAAAAAAAGTGACTGTGAACTTGAGGAGCTGAGCCTGGGTACATGCCTGTAACCCCACTACTCCAGAGCCTGAGGCTAAGGTAGGAGGACAGTAAGTTTGAGGCCAGTCTGAGAAAATCAGTGTGGCTGTGTCTCAAAATAAAAAGGGCTGGAGATGTAACTCAGTAGTAGAGTGCCCTGCTCAATCCCCACTACTACGAAAAAAAAAAAAAAAAAAAAAAAAAAAAAAAAAAGAAGGAATGTGTTTTTTAAAAAAATAATGTATTATTTAAATGAAACCTGTGAAGAGCATGGTAAAAGTAAGGTTATATGTTATTAATTCTTATCAGAAAGAGACTACATTTGCTAAATACTATAATGATAACCACTGATAGGAAAGAATTAGCATATAGAACTTCTAAGGTTTTAAGAGGAAAAGATGCATGTTTTAGATGCATGTTATTTTTTATACAGAATATATTTGTTCTGCATTTTACAGTTTACAAAAGCTTTTGTATATACTCTCTTCTTTTATTGTTAACATTGCAAGTGAGACATTATTCCTTCTTCTTAGAAAAAAAACCTCAGTCTCAATGGGATTAAATGATTTGCCTAAGATTTTTATAGCTAAAAAAGAAAATAACATGCATCTAAAATATCTCAATAAATGTCAAAGTGGTTAAACTTCAAGTGGTATGATTAGATTTTCACTATAGCGTAAACATTCTTATAATAATTTTATCAGTTTAAAAAACTGAATCAATCAAAGCAAAGCAAATATGTCAGAGAAATTATAAATAAAATCTTACTTAGTTTCGCCATCTGATACAGCCACAACTCTAGCTTCTTCAAGGTGAGGCCAATTAACAAAGACAGACTTTCCAAGCACCGATGAAGCTATATTTTCTACACTCTTAAAGTAAGAAAAGAAAAATTAATTCATGCGTTAGGTCCAAGAGAAAACTTTATACAGGCAAAATTTTCCATTTAAGTGTTTACATTTTTTGTAAAATGAACAAGGTTGGATTAGTAATGTTACAAAATTCCATCTACTAGTAAAATTCTATGATGCTAACCATTAGATTCATAAATGTTTTGCTTATTTTTCTAATAGGAATTGAGGAAAGTGAAAAAGAACAGCAGAAATGTCTATAAAAGGGCTATTCATTGCTTTATATCAACAAATATTTAAAAAATTAAAAAATAGGATCTTATTTCAGTTTGTGGGAGTATAATGAGAGAAAAAACAAAAAACAAAAACCACTACACTAAAAGTCAGGAGACACGTTCCAAATTTGGGTTCTACTTCTTTTTTAGCTATAAAAATCTTAGGCAAATCATTTAATCCCATTGAGACTGAGTTTTCTTTTCTAAGAAAAAGGAATAACTTCTCACTTGCAATGTTAACAATAAAAGAGTATATACAAAAGCTTTTGTAAACTGTAAAATGCAGAACAAATATATTCTGTATAAAAAATAACTTAAGTAAAAATTCTAGTTTTAGGGACTGTGGCTGTGGCTCAGTGGGCATATGTAAGGCTCTGGGTTTGATCTCAGCACCACATAAAAATAAATAAATAAAATAAAGATATTGTGTCCAGCTACAACTAAATTTTTTTTTCTTTTAAAATCTAGTTTTAAAAAAACTATATTATTGGGCTGGGATGTGGCTCAAGCGGTAGCGCGCTCGCCTGGCATGTGCGGGGCGCTGAGTTTGATCCTCAGCACCACATAAAAATAAAGATGTTGTGTCCACTGAAAACTAAAAAATAAACATTAAAAAATTCTCTCTCTTTGTTTAAAAAAAAAAACCATATTATTTAATTTGTACATATAAGTTAGAGAACAACTTTGTGGTGGAAACTTAAGTTTAAATACAACTTATTCCTTTTTTATTTGGCTTATTATCCTTAATTTTTTAACAAAATTTTTTTAACAATACAGATGACTATTTGAGACTTTTTATAGTAATTTAATTTTGATACTTGAATATTTGTTAAAATGAAGATAGAAAACAACAGACTAACTATTCAAATGGGGCTAGGGTTGTCGTTCAGTGGTAGGTAGAGCGCCCGCCTAGCATGCATGAGGCACTGGGTTCGATCCTCAGCACCACATAAAAATAAAATCTTGTGTCTACCTAAAACTAAAAAATAAATATTTAAAAAAGTTTCAATATTAGAATGAGACTCCCTCAATTATTCTTTTTTAAAAAATATTTATTTTTTAGATGTAGATGGACACAACACAATGCCTTTATTTTTAAGTGGTGCTGAGGATCGAACCCGGGTCCGGCCCGTGCTAGGCAAGCGTTCTACCACTGAGCCACAATCTCAGCCCATATTCTTTTTWAAAAAATATTTACTTTCTAATTGTAGTTGGACACAATACCTTTATTTTATTTATTTATTTTTATGTGGTGTTGAGGATTGAACCCAGGGCCTCACATGTGCTAGGTGAGTGCTCTACCGCTAAGCCACAATCCCAGACCCCCTCAATTATTCTTTTCCCTTTTATACATCTATTTCTGATTTTATTCTTCAAGTCTTTCAGTTTTTTAAGAAAGTGTCCTCTTTTTCTAGATTCTTTCATTTAAGATCTAGATAAAATATTTTTTTACTTCATATGGGGTCCTGTTTTCATATACACCCTTTTCTGCTACAGTGGTTTGTCACTTCCTTCTCCATTTGCTCTATCTTCCTTCTTTGTACAGATTTTGCTGGATGTTTCTTATTTACATACAGTTGTTTCTATCCCTCTTTTCAATGATAAACTTTTTATTCAAGGGCTTTGTACCTACTATTGATATTTCCTATTTACCTAGCATTAGTCTAGTCTTTAGGAATTGAACTTCTGCCTCCACCAATCTACTGGAATGAAATTCTCTAAGGCCAACATCAATGCTCAAATTCAAAGACCTGACTTTAATTTTTATTTTCCTTCTAACTTAGGAAGCATACAGCCCCTGTTCCATGATTTTGTGATACTACTTAACTTGGAATCATTCTTTTGTATCTACGACTCTACTTTTTACTTTTTATTCCCCAATAGCAATGGGTATTGAACCCAGAGTTTTATGCATACTAGGCAAATATTTTTACCAAGGAGCTACCATCCTAGACCTTTTAAATTGTATTTTGAGACAGAGTCTTGACAAGTCGTCCAGGTTGGCCACAAACTTTAGATCCTCCCAAGTAGCCAGGCTCACTATGTTACTTTTATTGGCTCTTTTGCACCCTATACAACTGTGGGTAATGTTGAGACCATGAATGCTCGGTGAAGCTTTTCTTTGAGGAAATGAGTCTCAAGGCCTAAGCTATCAATTCTCTGTTGACAGCCTGTAGAATCCTCTCTCTCTTTGCTCAAGCTCCAGGCATTTAACTATGAATAAGCAGCCTTTAACTGAGCTTTTCCATCTGAACTACAATACAAATAAAAAATAACTTAATTATTTTCTTGATTTTTCTAAGAATGGTTCATAACTAGCATCATTCTAAAGTAGTAGAAGATAAGTTAATTTATTGCAGACAATGAGTGCCTTAGGGCATTAGGGCTTTTATCACTTGTGAAACATTGTTTAAGAAAAGCTGGCAGGCTGGAGTTGTGGCTCAGTAGTAGAGTGTGTGAGCCTAGCATGTGTGAGGCACTAGGTTTGATTCTCAGCACAACATAAAAAATAAAATAAAATAAAATAAAGATATTGTGTCCATCTACAGCTGAAAATATTAAAAAAGAAAAGAAAAGCTGGCAAAGCAGCTCCAGTTAAATGTCCTAGTACCAGTATAAATATTCACCATTAATCATCCTAAATCAGCAATTCCTCTATTTTAACTTTTCTATCCAGTAAACTACAATTATTCCCTAGTAGCTTAGATAGCTCAGTAATAGCTACTGTTTTCTTTCTCTTTTTACCCTCTGTATTTGAACAAATAATAAAACTTGTCAATTTATCTTGCTCATTTAATCTATTGCCACTTCCACAGTTTAGGCCCTTATCACCTAAACATAGTGCTATAGTTTCTGAACTAGCAAACTTTCCCATTTTCTTCCATTGCTCTTTTGTGCAATTTAGTCTATGATAATGCCACCAAATTAATCTTTATGAAAATATTGATTTCAATGTAATAATCATGGGAAAAAAAACCCTCCAAAATTTCTTAGCCTGGTATTCAAAGTCCTCTATAACATCTGGCCTCAATCTGTTTTTTCAACCTTATCATCCACTATTTCCCACAAGTCCTCCATTTCAGTCAAGTTTAGTCCTTTCTCATATCACATTTATTTTAAAATAAGAAAAAGTATTAAATAATTTACATTCAAAAAGGTTAAAAGAATAACATAATTTATCATATACTTATTTTTTACTAAAAATTCCCAGTTTGTGATATTTCTTTCAACTAGCCTGACTTTCCCCTCCTTTTCTCCTCTTTGCCCTAATATGTCTTTTGAACCTGGCTCAAGACTCTTTTCATCTGCATGCAAGTCTGTACTTAACCTTTGGCTTATTTAGTTCATCTCCTTCCAAAGTTCCTGGAGTACATTTTTGCTTACTGTGCTACAATTATACAGGTTCTTAAACTGTTATTTAATTAGTGTAAATGTTTTTTTGCTTCATCCTTATTTAGAATGTGAACCTCTGGAGTATAGCACATTATACATCATTGGTAAATACCTTGGTGACTACAAACATTTTTATCCATAATAAGCACTGAATAAATAAATGATGAATGAAATACTTACAAGTTCATCTGATTCTATATTCACTAAGATTTCCAACATCATGTTTTCTCCACGACTGCTTTGCTGGAATACTTGAACACCACTTTTTTTCAAAAAAAACTTTAAAAGAATTCAAAGAATTTGATTTTAATTCTTTCTCCATAAGCAGTTCACATTATAATAAAGTGAAAAGGTTCTGAATTAAATAGCCACTGACTTTATGTTTGATGTGTTTCAGAGTAGGGAATCCGCAGAAATATAATGCCTTCTGGTCAATTCTGGTTATTTTGTTCTTGTTTATGTCCACACGCCAAGCATCTAATGATATTATTTTGTACCTAGAAAATAAATCAAATCAAGGTATTTAATTTAAAATTCAAACATTAGGACTGGGGTTGTGGCTCAGGGGTAAAGTGCTCGCCTAGTACATGCGAGGCCCTGGGTTTGATCCTCAGCATCACATATAAATAAATAAAATAAAGATATTGTGTGCAACTACAACTAAGAAATAAATATTAAAAAAATAAAATAAAGTTCAAACATTACAAGCACTTACAGTTTTTCAACTTTCCCTTAATTATTTTCCAAGAATTATTCTGACTTTTAGAGAAGGGAATGACAATTAGTTCTTCTAGACAAATAGAATACTGGGAAGGATATCCTAGCTTCTCTGTTGTTACTGGTCTAGATACAACCATGAACTTTTCCTTCAGAAACTTAAATCTATATGTATAACTGATTTATAAAGAAAACACAAATATCTATATTGTTCATGTCTCAAAATCCAAGATGAAAAATTAACATTTTATAATAACTACCTCATTGTCCTACTTGCTTTAACAAGAGGAAATATTACACTGAGAGATGTTCACTTTATTTGCAACTCAACTACCTTTGGGGTAGATTATTTGCAGGGATGAAAAGAGAAAAAATTCCAGATGAGTGGCATATGCCTGTAATTCCAGAGACTCTGGAGGCTGAGGTAAAAAGAATCATCAAGTTTGAGACCAGCCTAAGCAGCAGAGTGAGACCCTCTCAAAATAAATAATAAAAACAATAAAATGTAATTCAGTAGTAAACTTCTCTGGGTTCAATCCCCGGTACCAAAAAAGAAAAGAGAAAATAGACATTTAATTAAGAAGAGAAAACATGGGTCTGAGGTAATAAGAGTRAATCTTTTACTTTTCTTCTTTCGAGTTGGGTGGTTGGTGGTACAAGAGGCCAAGTTAGAGCATATCAAATAATGCTGGCAGCAGAGACACTGACAATGAAAAAGAAAAATTCAAAACAAAAATCCTCTACAGTGACACAATAGACAGAGACATACATTAGGAAGAAAAAACATAAAATTTTAATAGAAGAAAAGAGGGTAGAATCTGAGCAAAGTGGAGAAATGTAGGAACAAGTGTTAGAGATGCTGAAATCCCTGCAAATTGGATAAAATCCATTTAATTAGGTTTTGTTTTTTTAAAGTTTTAAATTATTTTATTTTATTTATTTATTTTTATGTGTTGCTGAGGATCGAACCCCGCACCTTACATGTGCTAGGCAAATGCTCTACTGCTGAACCACAACCCCAGCCCTTGTTTTGTTTTTTTTGAGACAGGGTTTTGCTATGTTGCTTAGGCTGGTGTCAAATTCTTGGGCTCAAGTGATTCTTCCACCTCGGCTTTCTGAGTTCCTGGCAATACAGGCACATGCCATCACACCCAGCTCATTAATAATCAATTGACTCTGTCATAAACTATTTGTTCATTCTCCAAAATAGATATTCAAAACTGTTTTGGTGTCAGAGGGCTCTTTGTTGTTGAAAAATTACCACATAACCTTACCTTGTACAACATCGTTCTATGGCAGGGAACTTTTCTGGCCATGGAGAAGGGTAGGTAAACTCTGTGTCTCTATCATACCAGCACATTAGACATTCACTATGTTGGTTTCTTTTCCTCTCTTCCTTTTTGAGGGAGTGGTTACATGTCTCCATGGCTTCCAACAATCGCTTCTGAATGTAAAGAACGAAAAGAAGGATTAAAAGTTTTAAAATTCTATAATCTCAATGTACCGAATAAATACTTTTTCTTCCATGTAGAATCACTATTTGTGTGCTTGAAAAACAAAATCTTAACTACTGAAACTCTTCCAATTTCTTACATAAAAATGTGATATGCTCTTCATTGCTTCATAGGGATCTAGCATACTGCTGCCACTGCAAATTCCTCTGAAACTATTACTCCAATAGTAGCCACTAAAGTGCAGATAAAAATAGCAGCAGTGAATCAAATTTTATTTTATTTTGTGGGACTATAAATTGAACCTAGGGCCTTACACATACAATATAAACACCACTGCACTAGTCCCAGCTCAAGAATTAAATTTTAAACATGAACTTATAATATCATAAGTCATGCAGTATTATTTTTTTACTTTACAAATTTTGCAGTGGCATAGCAACTGTCCACCTTTCTAAATTAACTTACAAATTTAACATAATTCCAATCAAAATAACAATAGTTTAAAATATATGTAAACTTTTTAGCCAGACATGGTGGTGCCTGACTGTAATTCTAGTGATTTGATAAGCTAAGAAAGGAGAATTACAAGATTGAGGCCAGCCTCAGCAATTTAGTGAGACTCTATCTCAAAATAAAAAGGGCTGGTAGTGCACCTCTGAGTTCAATCCCCATAATGAAAAAAAAAAAAAAAAACAAATTGCTTTTTTAAGAGGACAAAATTGTAACAATGTTCACATAGAAGAATGTGTGAATACTAAAAAAGAATTTGGGGGCTGGGGATGTGGCTCAAGAGGTAGTGCACAGGCCTGGCATGCATGTGGCCCGGGTTCGATCCTCAGCACCACATACAAACAAAGATGTTGTGTCTGGCGAAAACTAAAAAATAAATATTAAAAAATTCTCTCTTTCTCTCTCTCTTTAAAAAAAAAAAAAAAGAATTTGGGACGAGTCTTACCAGATCCTATCACCATTATAAAGCCATTATAATAAAATCAGATGAGAACAACAGAAAAGAATTAAAAGTGAATCCAAAGATACTTCAAACATAGGAATTCAGATATTTAAGTAATGATGTTGTCATTATTGACTTAACTATCCAGTTATTAAAAAGACACATACACATAAAAGTATTAAGAGAAAATCTAAAATATTGATGATTTAGAGGAATAAGCTCTTTTTTCTGAAATTTTTTGTTTTAATTAGTTATACATGACAGTAATTAGTTATACATGACAGCAATTAAGTTCTTTTTGAAGCAGAAAAAGTCTAACATCTTTAAGGAAAAAGATATTTTGAAGTAAAAGAAAGTGTATGTAACAGAAGATATACTATATAACAAATCAGTAGACAAATGTGATAATGAAAACACTACTCTTAACATACTTATTTACTTAAAAAAATCAAAAAGAAGAGAAATGAAGGAGAGAATACAAACAAGTATAAACAGGCAATTTACAAAAGAGAAAATGTAAAGGGTGAACATATACAAAACTACACTCAAGAAAAACAGATATATAGGCCAAAGGAACAAACTAGAGAGCGCAAAAATAAATCCAGGATTTATAGTCAACTAATCTTTGAAAGGGTGCCAAGAATAAACAACAGGAACAGGATAGTCTCTTCAATAAACAGTAGTGGAAAAATTAGATATCCACATGAAGAAAAATGAAACTGGATCCTTATCTTACATCATCAACAAAGAAATCAACTAAAAATGGATTAATGACTGAAATATCTAAGCTATAAAATAATGAGAAGAAAACAAGGAAAATCCTTCTTGACACAGTATGGGAAATGATTTTTTGGATATGATTGAAAAAGCACAGGCAACAAAAGCAAAAACAGACAAGTGGGACTGCAGCAAACTTAATAATATGTCTGCATAGCAAAGGAAATAACAAAGCCAAGAGACAACTTATGGAATGGGAGAAAACATTTGCAAACTATATAGCTCTTAAAGAAGTACAATCCAAAAATATATTAGAAACTCAGTATAAATATATATCAACTCATTAGCAACAAAACAAAAACTGACAAAAATCAGCAAAGTGGGGACTAGGATTGTAGCTTAGCAGTAGAGAGCTCTCCTAGAATATATGAGGCCCTGGGTTCAATCCTCAGCACCACATAAAAATAAATAAAGATATTGTGTCCATCTACAACTAAAAATATATTTTTAAAAAATCAGGAAAGGATCTGAATAGATATTTTTCCAAAGAAGACACACAGAACTGGAGTGTAGCTTAGTGGTAGAGTGCTTGCTTAGTAGCAGGCATTAGGCCCTAGGTTCACTTGCCAAAAACATGCATAGAACAGCAGGAAAATGAAAAAACGTTCAACATTACTAATAATCAAAGAAATGAAAAATAAAACTACAATGAGATATCATCTTATTTCTATTAGGATGGAGATTATAAAAAAGTTAAAGACAAAAGCTATTATTGGTGAGGATAAAGAAAGAGCCCTTTATACTGCTGGTAGAATGTAAGTTAGTATAGTCATTATGGTAAACACCATGTAGATTATTAAAAAAATTTAAAAATATTACTGTTTGATCCAGCAATCTGACAAGCAAATAAATATCCAAATAAAATGAAATAATTAACTCCCAAGTTCACTGCAGCACTGTTTATAGTAGCCACGCTATGGAATTACCCTAAGGGTTGGTCAACAGATAAAAGGATAAAGAATATATGGTATACATATACAATGGAATGACTCAGTCTTTAAAGACAGGAAATTCTGTCATATGTGATAACATGAATGAACCTGGGGGACATTATGCTAAGTGAAATAAGATAGACACAGAAAGATGATATGTTGCATGATATTATATACATGTGGAATCTAAGAAGTTGAACTCTTTAGAAGCAGAGCAGAATGGTTGTTGGCAGGGGCTAGTAGGGGTGGGGAATGGGGGAAGAGGGGACAGAGAAAGGTTGGTCAAAGTGTACAAACTTTTAGTTATACGGGATGAATAAGTTCTGGAGTATGGTGACTAAAGTTAATAAAACTGCATTGTACACTTTAAAAAATAATTTCAGATTCACAAAAAGTTGTGAATTATTATAGTAAAGAGCATTCCTATGCTTTCCAGTTTTCCCTAGTGATAACCTCTTATATATAAAACCATAGTATATTATCAAAACCAAGTCCCTGAGATTATTTCAATACTAGTATACTACTAATTTTCTTTTTAAATTTTTTTTTTTTTGGTTATAGATGGACAACACCTTTATTTTTTAAATTTATTTTTATGTGGTACTGAGGATCAAACACAGTGCCTCACACATGCTAGGCAAGCACTGTACCACTGAGCCACAACCGCAACCCCAAACTACTAGTTTTTACATGTCTTTTTTCACTTAAGTAAATATTTTCATCCAAGCTTTTTATATCAACAGTTCTTTCCTTTTTTATTGCTAAGTTATTTCATTATGAGAATGCACTATGTGTTTACCCATTTACACAATAAAAGATATTTGAATTTTTTTTCTAGTTTGCAGTTATTCCAAATAAAATTGCTCTGAACATTCACACATTGTTTTTTTTGTGGACATAGTTTTCACTCTCTAGTATAAGTATTCAAGAGTTTATTGCTAGATTGTGTAGTCAATGTATGTTAAACAGCTTTACTAACTTCCCCACCTTACACAGAAACAAATCAGCAAGAACATTCTGAGAAAATGGGGCAGATATTAAGGGAAGCCTGACAAATGCTCAAGCTGAAGAGGATGTGTGTATATATGTGCAGACAAGCAGATCACACCTTAGCATCAGAGTTTGAGCAATAATCCTCCATGAGACAAAAACAATCTCAGTTCTGAAAATTCTATAGTATTCTAATTGGGCAATTTCCACCATTTCACTTGAAAGAATGTACATTCTCAGTATAGTGTATTATAAATATTAATGAAGTTGAGTAGGTTTTTATTGAAATCTTTATCCTTATTTCCTGTCTTGTGCTATCAATCCTTCAGAGAAAAGTATCAAAATTTCTACCTATAATTGTGGATTTCTCTCTTTCTTCCTTAATCTGAGTTTTTGTTTCGAGTTGAAACTGTTATTAGGTGCATATGTATTTAGGATTTTTCTGTCTTTTCTTCCTTTCTTTTTTTTGATTCTGGGGATCAAACTTAGGACCTCATACATATTAAACAAGTACTTTATCACCAAGCTATATGTCCAGTTACTATGCCTTGATGAACTGATTGCCTCTCTTATCATAAGAAATATCCCTGTTTACCTCTGGTAATATTCTTTGTTCTGAAGTTATTTACTTTGTCTAATATTAGTAAAGCCATTCCAGCCTTATCATTAATATACATTGAAGTTTTGAGTACACAATGAAGAGTGGCTAAGTCTCAAACAAAATATAAGTGGTGATGAAAATCAACTGCTTATTAACTTAAGTGAAAGAATGTATATAGTTATTACATGCACTGACCTCATCAATAAAAGGTATTAATACCACAGCTTCCCATTCCTGTTGTTTTCCATTTAGATCAGTTTTAAAATCAGGTGGATAATATTCTATAATTGGAGAGTCTTCACTGGTCATCAAATGCTATAAAAAATAAAATAGTATATAGAAATATAAGAAAATTAATATAGCTTTTTATTAATGTACTTATAACATTTCCTTACAAGTTACTTTAAAATTTTTAAGCAAACTAAATTTTTATTTTTAGGTATTGCAATGCACTCAGTTGCTATATTTTGATTTTCAACTATAAGAATTCCAATTTCACTACTATTGTTTACATTCCTGTTTCATTCACTTAGTTATATAGCAAACACATCTTTACTCTGAACTTTGTCATTTTAAAAACTTTTCATTCTGTGAGATGTAGCCCCTAAATTCTGTTTTCTTTTTCAGGCTTCATTTCAGAAGCTTCTAATAGTCCTCCATTAAAAAAAAAATAATTCTTTGTGTCCTGATTGATTCTATTAAGTAATATAACAACTGTTGTCCAGAATTAAAGAAATAAACAATTAAAATCCAAGAACTACTGAACCACTAACATCAAAGAGTCCAATAATACACATTTTTTATTATTAAAGATTTTATAACACAGGTAGACAAAGTGTATAGATGTTTTACAAAAAGAAAGCATAAGGAAATGAATACAGAAGACAATAAATTTTTTTTTCAAATAAATAAAACAACATGTTCCCGGCATGATATTCAAAATATTAATGAATATGGTACTTGCAATGAGCAAATAAAACAATCATGGCTGTAATACACTTGCATGGTCATACAGGCTCATAGTAGCTGAATATCAAAGTTTAATATGTGCAAGGGAAGAAAAAAAAACTTCAAAGAAACTTATAAGGGGAGGCAAGAGGCTAGGATCAAGGCTGGGTTAAGCGTCAGAATCTTTCTGACACAGCAAAAGGTATGTGTGTACATAATTCCTGGAAGCTGACCATTGAATTAGAAGAACGTACTACTGATACTCTAGAAGAACTAATGAAGTGTACTTTCATGATCTGTTAGCTTAGTATAATTTTGCTGACCCTGTATTCCTCTTGTTATGTAAAATATGTTAGCCTTTCAGTTTGATAAATGAAATCCTTAAAATTCAAATATACATGGGGGTAATACTGCTGATAAATTATTTACCAGAGGCATCCATGTTCTAATAGGCAGCAGGTAAGAGAGAACAGGAATGAATCTGAAAATGTGTAGACCAACAAGATAGTTTCTGATTTTACCTGTTTTAGTTTACTTTCTTCAGTGTAGACACAAATTAAAGATGTGTTTAAAGGTGTTAAAAATGAAAAAGCTAGGCTCTAAACAGTTTATAAAGTTTTTTCACTTTTAAAACAAAACCAGCATTTAAACCAGAAATTACTTTTCAAGGAGCTTGTTAAAGAAATACTGTATTTAAAATGAAAAATAGATGTATTTATCTACTAAATATATTTGTGTATTATTGTTTCTTAGATTTGGACAAGGAACTCTTAAATATGAAAAAGAACATAAAAACATTCAATTCTAAAACTCACCTGGGGCTGGAGATATAGCTCAGTTGGTAAAGTGCTTGCTTTGCATGCCCAAGGCCATGGGTTCAATCCCCAGCACCACCACCAAAAAAAAAAAAAAAAAAAAAAAAAAAAATCATCTAAAACTCACCTGATAGCATGTAGGAAGTAAATTTTTGCTAGCTGCTGGAAGTACAGCAAGAAGCTGTTCAAATGGTTTAAAAGGTTTTCCTAGTTCAAAACGGATTTGGAGTGTACTGATGTTGCGGATGTCTGACAGGAAAGGTGCGTAATGATAAGGATAATACCTACAAAACAAAATGAGTTTTAAGCAACTGGAAACCATGAAACAAGTCAATAATTTTTATATATATATATATGTGTGTGTGTGTGTATATATATATACATATACATACATATATATATTTCTTCTATAGTTTAACACCATATAGCAATAAATTTCAAGAAAAAATAAGTATCACCCACAATTCTACCACCCGAATATAAGAAATCGGCACAGTTAGAAAATGTGGATGGCAAGATGGCAAAAAGTATTATATTTCCTTAATTTTCTAGTGCAGTTTCAGATTTCTAAAAATCAGGTAATTGAAGAATGCATATAATGTAATGCTGTTTTTGAGATGGGGTCTCAAGTGATCCTCCTGCCTCAGCTTCCTTAGTGTTGGCACTACAGGTGCATGCCACTGATCTTGAATTTGTAATACTTTTTTGAATTCACAAAATGCTCATCATGAATCTTCCAGTCCATACGCTGGACAGTAATGAGGTAGTCAGAGGATCTTTAGTCTTATCAGTTGGCCCTGGGACCTTCAATCAAGGTTCTGGGAGTAGCTGAAGGTTCTGATAAAAGCTTTAATTAGTTCATAAGGACAGAGGGAGGAATAGTGAGTCTAAGCTAATGTGGCCTTTAATGGTCAACTCTAAGAACTTTTTTATTTGAATTCATATACATATTATTATATTTATAATAGAGATTAAAACATGCATCAATTACATACTAATTTTATTTTATATCATTCATGTTTAACTTTATATTTTAAATCATTCCATCCTTTTTTTTAAGCTATAGATGACACTATTTATTTATTGATTGATTGATGGTACTGGGGATTGAATTCAATAGTAATTGGCCACTGAGCCACATCCCCAAGCATTTTTTTTTGTATTTTATTTAGAGACAGGGTCTCAGAAAGTTGCTTAGCGCCTTGCTTTTGCTGAGGCTGGCTTTGAACTTGTGATCCTCCTGTCTCAGCCTCCCAAACCCCTGGGATTACAGGCGTGCCCCACTGCACCCGCTATTTGTTTATTTTTATGTGGTGCTGAGGATCGAACCCAGTGTCTCACACATCGAGCCACAATCCCAGCCCCACCATTCCATCTTTAACTACATATTTTTACAAAGCTTTGAACATACACACTTAAAAATTTTTCGATATGCTCTAGGTGTATGACTCAGGTGTGTGTGTGTGTGTGTGTGTGTGTGTGTGTGTGTTGTGTGTTTATATTTTCTAATTGTGGCATACATTTCAAAGCAATGGAAAAAGGAGAAATAATGTAAAACAAACAGACTCTGGAATCAGACACACTTGGACTTGGTTCTGGGATGTAAGATTTTGGGAAGATTAAACTTTTTGAGGCTTTATTGCTTCATCTGTAATGGGGGAAAACAATGTCTACTTTAGTTGTGAAGATTAGATGAGAACATGCTTCTCAAGTGTCTGGTCTTAATTCRTGAAAACAATAGAAACAACTTATGTGAGCCCTCTTAAAAAAACAAAGCAGAGCTATGTTATCACCTAAGTCTTCACTTTTCACTGATCATCTTTTGGTCTGTTACTTTTCTATTTTGGTGGATGGTTTTGAACAAAATTTGCTGGAACAGGGAAGAGAAATGGCAAATTATTACTATTTCCAGTAAAAGCAAATAATTCCTTTCTCCTTTATTTTTCCAGCCTAACATACAACTAGTCTAGTCTTCAAAAAATTACTACTATTTGAAAAAAAAAAAATTAAAACACACAAAAATTTAGAGAATACAACGAATACCCCCATGTAACTATCACCCAGATCTGATAGTTATCTAAACTTAAGTCATACATGATTCATCTCTTTTCTCTCTCTCTCTCTCTCTTTTGGGGGGGGGGTGATGCTGGGACTTAAACTAGGACTTCTTGCATACTAGACAAATGAGCTACAACCGAATTACATCTTCAGCTCTGATTTATCTAAATACAGAATTTTACATCCTTAGATTAATAAAGACCTTTTATCATCTGCTAGGGCTAGAAGCATCTTTTTCAAGTATTTTCATTTAAGAAAAGATTACCTGGGCAGAAGATATAGTTCAGTTGGGAGAGTGCTTGCCTAACATGCACAAGGCCCTGGGTTCAATCTCCAGCAAAAAAAAAACACACACACACACACACACACACACACACACGATGACGAAGAAGAAATGTCTAAATGAGATTCTTACAGAAAAACACATTTTAAAAAAGATATCCTCTTACCAGCTCCAGGACTGAACACCATGATAGTAATAGTGCAGAATCCACTGTATTGCCTGAACATAACATGAAGCTTGATCAGCCAGAAAATCACTGAAAATAGAAAGGAATATTTTCATTACATTATTTTTTTTTGAAAATAGGTCAGTGTTTCTAGAGTATATTTTCTCATACATATTACCTCACATGGCTTATTAAGTCAATGAATTAACTACAAATTATATACTACTTAAAAATAACAATCAGAAAAACTCCAAGAAAATTCCACCTTTCACATGAAAGGTTTGCTTCACCTACACCAACTATCAAGCCTGCTATGCATATTTGACTAGTAAATCTATGACACATTTGGTCTACAGTTTAAAGACTTAGCTAATGAAATATTTTATCAAGCAGTACTGTTGCTCTCTTAAATAGTAGGGATGAGATGGGCACATCAGAAAGTTCTTGAAAAGCCTGGTTATAGCAGCTAAAATACCCTTTGAAAAGTGCTACAGCTGCTGAGCAAGATTCTCTTCTAATTTCTTCTCTCAAAAACCAAAAGCTATCATTTAAGGTTTGGGTAAAATCAATCTTTGAATACCAAGACAGGCATTAGTCTAAAGTCCAAAGTAGTTGCTTAAGAAATTCCAAGTCTCCATATTTCTGGGAGGTATGCTTTTATACATGAAATTATTACTTTGTTATTATAAAACAAATATTTCCCTAGGAATAAAAACAAACATTTTCATTCCCTTACAGCAATCACTATACATTTTGGTATGTTTATTTTCAGTCTTTTTTTTTAATATTTATTTTTTAGGTGTAGTTAGACACAATACCTTTATTTTATTTATTTATTTTTATATGGTGCTGAGGATTGAACCCAGGGCCTCGCATGTGCTAGACGAGTACTCTACTGCTGAGCCACAACTCCAGCCCTCTTTTTCAGTCTCTCTTTAATTTAAGATGGTGTCTAGCCATGTTGCCCAGACTGGTCTTGAACTCCGGGCCTCAAGTCATCCTCCCACCACAGCCTCCTAAGTATGTAGGACAATAGGTGTGCACTACCACACCAGTATCAGTCTTTTCTATTCCTACGTTGATTTTTTTAAAAGTATTAATGAGTATGAGCTACATGTATGAGTTTGTGTTCTGTTTTAAAATTTAAGTATCTTTCCAAATAATTATGAAATTTCTTCAAGTACCAGTTTAGCAGCTACACAGATTCTGAAGATGTGGAGATGAGAGGGATGGTGACTGTGATGATGATGATGCAGAGCCTGATTACTGGGAACCTTCTTATTGGACACTGGATTAATTTTTTACTATTTTAAGTAACTTTGTAATAAGCTTTCTGTGTATAAGGACAATTTCTCTATTTTAATTATAATATAAGTCAGAATTAATATCACCTTCTCCAAAACCATATCCTACTAGTTGAAATCTACAATAATTTATGAAACCAAAAAATCCTTGTCTTCTACTACTTTGTCAGAATTGTGCTGTTTTCTGAAGAACTGCAAAATCTAATTTTTTTTTTTTACTTTAAAGTAAAAGGATTGGCAAAAACGTACTCAGAGACTACATCAACCCCCATCTTTGTCATGTAATATGTTCTTTTATATTGTCGAAACTCAGTTTCAAATAGATCATCATCTTCAGTCTCATCTTCTAAGTTATCTAGAGGGAAAAAAGAAAGATAGTGACTGACAGTTATGAATATTCTGTTTTTCTTCTAATGCTCTGATAAATGCATATCAAAGTTGATTCTTATAAGTTATCATAGCAATTTGTCGAATTCAATATTACTAAATTAGTATTGATATATCAAATTATAACTATTCGGTCAAAGTAATAACACATAAAAAGTAATAACATATCAAACTATATAGTTTGTACTTACCCTTAGAAGCTACCACTTCACTTTCATTTTTGTCTAAAGCAGCCCAACATACAGAATTTTCCTGGCCCTATAAAAATTATAAATCATCATAAAATAAATGGTAAGATATATTTCAAGGGGATATTTAAAAAATGCTAAAACTAATTGAAATTATCCTTAAAGGAAACAATCAAGAACGTGAAGAGAGAGCCTACAGAATAGAAAAAATTCTCTACCATCTGCACATCAAATAGAGCATTAATCTTGAGAATACAGAAAGAACTCACACAAAAAAAACTTAACACCAAAAAGCCAAATAACTCGTGCTGGAGATGTGGCTCAAGTGGTAGCGCACTTGCCTGGCATGCGCAGAGTGCTGGGTTCGATCCTCAGCACCACATACAAATAAAATAAAGATGTTGTGTTCACCGAAAACTGAAAAATAAATATTAAAAAAATTCTCTCTCTCTCTCTCAAAAAAAAAAAAAACAACAAAAAAACTCAAATAACTCAATCAGTAAATGGTCAAAGGAACTGAAAAGACACTTCACAGAAAAAGAAATATGATTGGTCAACAAATATGTGAAAAAAATGTTCAACATCTGTAGCAATTAGAGAAATGCAAATTAAAACTAAACTGAGATTTCATCTTACTCTACTCAGAATGGCAAACGTCAAAAATATAACCATAAATGTTGGTAAGGATGTGGGGAAAAGGTACACTCATACATTGCTGGTGGGACTGCAAATGGTGCAACCATTCTGGAAAGCAGTAGGGAGATTCCTTAGACAATATAGAATGAAACCACTATTTGACCCAGTTATCCTACTCCTCAGCATATACCCAAAGGACTTAACATCAGCATACTACGGTGTCATAGCTACATCAATGTTTATAAACAGCTCAAATCACAATAGTTAAGCTATGGAACCAACCTAGGTGTGCTTGAACAGATGAATGGATAAAGAAAATATGGTATATATACTCAATGGAATATTAATCAGCCATAAGGAAGAATCAAATTATGGCATTTGCTGGTAAATGGATGGAACTAGAGAATATCATACTAAGTGAAATAAGCCAATCCCCCAAAACCAAAGTTTTCTCTCTGATAAGCAGATGCTAATACACAATAAAGGGTGGGAAGAGAAGAGTAGAAGTTCACTGGACTAGAGAAAGGAGAATTCAGGGAAGGGAAGGGGGATGGGAATAGAAAAGTCAATAGAATGAATTGAACATAACTGTCCTATGTTCATATATGAATACACAACCATTGTAACTCAACATCATGTATGACCACAAGAACTGCAAGTTATACTCCATGCATGTATAATATGTCAAAATATACTTCATTGTCATGTATATTTAAAAAGAACAAATTAAAAAACTTTTAAAAATTCTTAAAGAACTTTGTAAAAGCTTAAAAATAATAAGTAATACATAAATGTTTTTGGTTATCAATTTCTAAAACTGTGTGTGTGTGTGTGTGTTTCTAGGGATAGAACCTAGGGCCCTGTACATGCTAGGGAAGCACAATACCAACTGAGCTACATCCCTATCCCTAAAGCTATACATTTCTATCATGTAGAACTTAGAAGTCAAGTCATTCAAAGATAGATAAAGTGATTCTCATCAGTGTTAAAGAAGAATACATTTGCCAGGTACAGTGGTGCACTCCTGTAATCCCAATGACTAGGGAGGTTGAGGGAGGAGGATCACGAGTTCAAAGCCAGCCTTAGCAAAAAGTGAGGAGCTAAGCAACTCAGTGAGACCTTGTCTCTAAATAAAATACAAAATAGGGCTGGGGATGTGGCTCAATGGCAGAGTGCCCAAGTTCAATCCCTGGTATGTACTCCCCACCCCCGCAAAAAAAAGAATGAATTTAAATTATTCATATTCCAAGAATATACTTAAAGAGTATCTCATTTACTTAAAACAAGGTATACAATCAACATCAAATCCTTGTATCAGTTATCAATGTAAGTATTTTTATGTGTCCAAAATTTAGGTCACTTTTTTTTTTTTTTAAAGAGAGAGTGAGAGAGGGGAGAGAGAGAGAGAGAGAGAATTTTTAATATTTATTTTTTAGTTCTCGGTGGACACAACATCTTTGTTGGTATGTGGTGCTGAGGATCGAACTCGGGCCGCACGCACGCCGGGCGAGCGCGCTACCGCTGAGCCACATCTCCAGCCCTTTAGGTCACTTTTAACATTCTATTCCTTTATAATTAAATTCAGTGGTTATAATATCTATTTTCTGTATCTCTGAATCCTGTCCTTTTTGTTTTCTTTTGTTTTTTGGTATTGTTCCAGGAATTGAACCCAAGGGTTGCTTAACTCCTGCACCACATCCCCCAGTCCTTTTTAAATTCTGAGGCAGCATTTTGAGCTATATTGTTTATAGCTCTCTAAGTTGTTGAAGCTGTGATCCTCTTGACTCAGCCCCCCCAAGCCACTGGGATTACAGGTGTGTGCCACTGCACCCAGCTTGAATCCTATCATTCTTATGATTCTATCTTCCACTCCTTTATTTCTCTTCCATGCAATGCATTTGTTTTTCTATAACTCTTCCATCTATCCATCCTTCATATTCTGCTTCTGTTTTTCATCCATTGTGATCTCAATCTTTTCTCTCCTCTGTTTTTGGATTGCCTGTCAACTGCCAATGACTCCCATTATTAATTCTTCCCATTTCCTTATCTTCATTTCCTTTTCTTCATCCAATTTATAGCCCCTACTGATTTTGTGTGCTTAGGCTATTTCTGCCTGTGTCTCTAACGTTAGCCACATACATATGCCTAGAATATGGTCAAGTTTAAGGAATGAGTTGAGGAAAGGAAATCAGGGATTACTGATATGTTAGTTCTGTGCATACAGGTTCGCAAAGCATCGCAAAGCTTTTTATTAGGAGTAAAAAACGCACAGGTGGAATGAAGACTGACCATTACCAAGTTCCACTAAGGAAGAGCTAAGTAATTAGAAAGACCATTCCAGGAAAAAACAGAATAATTGCCCCTCCTGGAACAAGACATATTAGATTTAAAACTACACAGAACCAGTATACTAAGGGGAGTGCAGGAAACTTTATCAAGATCCCATAACTATGGATAGGCTGAAGATAATTTCATAAGTTTTGTTTTCAAGACAACACAAAGACATTCTTTAGAATTTATTAGAGATGTTATGGAGGGCACTAGCATATTTTAAATAGTTCTATCATTTAATTATTAAGCAAATAACAGTTTATAAGATATTTTACCACTAATTACTCCTAGCCTGGCCTATTAATGTAGTTTATATAAAAGTCATTTTTTAAAAAATCATTCTATTTAATGTCTCATGACATTAAATGCTATAAATATGTACATTTTAAAACTAGTATGTTGCAAAGATGGTGGAATGAGATGGACATCATTGCCCTAGGTACATGTATGATTGCATGAATGGTACATCTCTACATCCTATACAACCAGAGAATTGAAATGTTGTGCTCCATTTGTATAAGATGAAATGAAATGTATTCTGCTGTCATGTATAACCAAGTAGAACAACAACTACAAAAACAATTAGTATGTTGGTCTGTTGTTTTCAAATAACATGGTTTAAATGATTATTTTTAAAAGAAAAGTAATTTTCTAGACTCTTATATTAAGAAATGTTTTCCATACTTATTTATAGAATGAAAAAGTGAAGAAAAAACAATGTCCTTCTTCAAGGGTAAAAATAAATTACTGTTAAGGATCAGATCTAAATGAAAGAATCTAGTAGAGAAAAAGAAACCAAAACAACTTTTAACTACCTATAGGAAAGAAGAAATGAAAATGAAATGAGGCAACTCCAAAATCATAGAAGGAAAATGATAAATAAGGAGTATCAGTTTTATCTCACAGCTAAAAAAGTGAAAGAACACCTAACAAACAAAAAAAAAAAGGACACCTTTGGTTTTTTCTTTTCTTTATAGTTCTTGGCTTCTTCTGCTGCAACTCCAGCTGCTTCGTTGAGGTACTTGTTACCAACTTTGCTTTCAAACCACTTTAGGTCCACAAAAACTTCACTGAAGTGCTCCCGATCAAACTGCACAAAAAATTTGAATCCATTTGAAAATGATTCAATTACGTATAGAAGACAAACCAAACTTTACAGAATGACTATTTCTGGGACATAGGAAATTCGGGAATATTACTTTTTACACATATGGGGACCTCATTTTCCTTATGAAAATTAAACATAAAAAGAAAATAAAAACAGAATTTATAGGCCACAAAGAAACTTTTAGTAAATACAAAAAACTAATATAATTCCTTGTATTTTATCAGCCCATAATGGTATGAAATTAGAAATTAACATGAAAATACCTTACAGAGACTATATAAACACAGTGAGATTGAACAACACACTTTTGAGTGATGAATGTGTCATAGAAGATATCAAGGGAGAAATTAAAAAATTCTTAGCCTCGAATGAGAATAGTGATACAATATATCAGAACCTCTGGGACATTACGAAGGCAGTTTTAAGAGGAAAGTTTAAAGCTATGAGTGTCTACATAAGAAAATTAGAAAGATCCCAAATAATCAACCTAAGGATGCATCTCAAGGCCCTTGATAAAGAACAACAAATCGATTCCAAAACCAGTAGAAGGAAGGTAATGATTAAAACAGAGCTGAAATCAATGAAATTGAAAATATAAAACAATACAAAGGATCAATGAAACAAAGTGTTGGTTCTTTGAGAAGATAAACAATACATTTCTAGACAAATACTATCTGCTAAAACTGAATCAAGAAGACATAGAACACCTAAATAGACCAGTATTTTGTAATGAGATACAAGTAGTAATAAAAAGACTTCTAACAAAGAAAAGCCAAGCTGAGATGGATTCTTTGATGAATTCCACCAAATCTTTAAAGAACTAATGGCCATACTCCTCAAGTTATTCCACAAAATAGAAAGGGATGGAAGAGTTCCAAATTCATTTTATGAAGTCAGTATCATACTCATATCAAAACCAGATGAGGACATGTCAAGGAAAGAAAACTATAGACCAATCCTTTTTTTAAATTTTTAGTTGTAGTTAGACACAATATCTTTATTTATTTTTATGTAGTGCTGAGAATCGAACTCAGTGCCTCACACGTGCAAGGCGGGCGCTCTACTAATGAGCTACAGCCCCAGCCCCTAGACCAATGAACTCAGATGCAAAAATACTTAATCAGATATTAGCAAACTGTGTTCAACAACGTAGTAAGAAGATTATACACCATGACCAAGTTGATCACTTGTTATTTCAACAGATTCATAAAAGATCTCTGACAAAATTCAGTGCTCATTCATGATTAAAACACTGAAGAAATTAGGGATAAAAGGAAACTACTTCAACATCATAAAGGCTACATGTAAAAAACCCAAAGCAAACCTTATAATAAATGGGGAAAAACTGAAAGCATTTCCTTTAAAATATAGAACAAGAAAACAATGTCTGCTCACACTATTCCTTTTTAATATAATGCTAAGAAATTCTAGCCAGTACAATTAGGCATGAGAAGGAAATAAGAGGTATAAAAAGAGGAAAGGGGCTAGGGATGTGGCTCRAGTGGTAGCATGCTTGCCTCGGATGCGTGAGGCACTGGGTTCGATTCTCAGCACCACATAAAAATAAAACAAAGATATTGTGTCCACCTAAAACAACTGAAAAATAAATATAAAAAAATAAAATAAAATAAAAAAATAAAGGGCCGGGGTTGTAGCTCAGTGGTTGAGCACTTGCCTTGCATGCGTGAGGCATTGGGTTCAATCCTCAGCATCACATACAAAAAATAAATAAATAAAATAAAGATACTGTGTCCATCTACAACTAGAAAAATATTTAAAAATTTAAATTAAAAAATAAAAAATAAAGAGGAAAGAAAAAAAGTCAAATTATCACTTTTGCACATGATATGATCCTATACCTAGAAGATCCAAAGAACTCTAACAAAAGACTGCTAGAGCTACTAAACAAACATGGCAAACAGTAGGTTACAAAATCAACATACAAAAATCAATAGCTTCCTTATATACCAACAATGAATCTCTGAGAAGGAAATCAGGAAAATAATTCCATTCATAATAGTCCCCAAATAGGGGGACTAGGAACAAATCTAACCAAGGGGGTGAAAGACCTCTACAATGAAAACTATAGAACACTGTAGAAAGAAATTGAAGAGTTCAAAAGATGGAAAAACCTCCCATGTTTGTGGATAGGCAGAATTAATATTGTTATAATGGCCATACTACCAAAGCAAATATAGATTCTACGCAATTCTCATCAAAATACCAATGACATTCTTCACAGAACTAGAAAAAAAATAGTCCTAAAATTCATTTGGAAGACTAAAAGACCCAGAATAGGAAAAACAATTCTGGGCCAAAAAAGCAATGCTGAATGCATCACAACAGCAGACTTCAAATCATACTACAGGACTATAGTAACAAAAACTGCATGGTATTGCCATAAAGACAATGGTACAGAATAGAAGACACAGAGACAAAAATCATACATCTACAGTCATCTGATCTTTGACAAAGGTGCCGAAAAATACACTAGAGAAAACACAGCTTTTTAAACAAATGGTGCTAGAAAAACTGGTTATCCATACGTAGAAGAATGAAACTATAGATCTTGATCTCTCGCCCAGAACAAAAAAATCAATCCAAAATGGATCAAAGACTTAGGACTTAGATGAGAAACTATACAACTGCTAGAAAAAACATAGGGTCAACACTCCAGTACATAGGCATAGGCAATGACTTTCTCAATAAGAACCCTAAAGCTCAGGAAATAAAGCCAAAAAGATGGGATGGCATCAAATTAAAAAGCTTCTGCACAGCAAAGGAAACAATTAGGAATGTGAAGAGAGAGCCTACAGAATGGGAGAAAATCTTTGTTAGTTATTCTTCGGACAGAGGATAAATATCTAGGATATACAAAGAACTCAAAAAAAAAAAAACCTTTATGCTAGAAAAATCAAGTAACCTTATTAATAAATGAGTGAACAAATTAAATAATACTTCTCAAAAGAAGAAATACAAATGTCTAAGAAATATAGGAAAAAATGTTCAACATCATTAGCAAGTAGGGAAATGCAAATCAAAACTACACTGAGATTTCATCTCAGACTAATCAGAATGGCAGTCGTTAAGAATACAAATAAGGGGGCTGGGGATGTGGCTCAAGCAGTAGCGCGCTCGCCTGGCATGCGTGTGGCCCGGGTTCGATCCTCAGCACCACATACAAACAAAGATGTTGTGTCTGCCGATAACTAAAAAATAAATATTAAAATTTTCTCTCTCTCTCTCTCTTAAAAAAAAAAGAATACAAATAAGAACAAATGCTAAAGAAGATATGGAGTGTGGAACTGTAAATTAGTACAACAACTATAGAAATCAGTATGAAGGTTCCTCAAAAGGTTAGGACCACCATATGACCCAGCTATACCACTTCTCATTATTCACCCTGAAGAATTAAAGTCATCATACAACAGTGACACAGGTATATCCATGTTTATAGCAGCACAATTCACAATGGCCAAGATGCCTAGATGCCCATCATTGGATGAAAAAGAAAATGTGATATATATACATAATGCAGTTTTATTCAGCCATAAATAAAAACAAAATTATGTCACTTTCAGGAAAACAGACGGAACTAGAGACCATTATGTTAAGCAAAACAAGTCAAACTCTCAGAGGTTAAGGGTCCTATGTTTTCTTTCCTATGCAAGTGCTAAAGAGGAAAAGGAAAACAAAGATGGGGTTGAATCTCATAAAAATGAAAAGGAGACTAATAGAGAAAAGAAATCAAGGGGTAGAAAGTGGGAGAGCGAGGGAAAAAATGCTAGGAAGTGATAATGGCCAAATTATATTGTTATATTAAAATATATTTGTTATTATAAATATGCAATAACAAATCCCATCAGTATGTACAATTAAAATGCACCAATAAAAAATATGAGGGGAAGGGACAGAATTTAGGTGAAAGTGTAATTAGCACCTGGGAGATAATTATAAAAGTTTTTTTTCCTGCTATTGTTTAGTTGGTTACTGTTATGTTTTGGACATGAGATGTATCCCAAAAGCTCCTGTGTGAGATAATGCAAGAAGATTTAGAGAAATGACTGGGTTATGACAGCCTTAACCCAATCAGTGAATTAATTTCCTGATAGGATTAACTGAGTAGTGGTTGAAGATAGTTAGGGTGTAGCTGGAGAAGGTGGGGTATTAGAAGCGTGACTTTGGGGGTACATATTTTTTATCTGGTGGATGAAGTTGCTCTTGCTGTCTGATCATCATATGAGCTGCTTCCCTTCCACCACATTCTTCTGCCATGATGTTCAGCTTCACCTCGAGCCCCAAGGAATGGTGCATGCTGCCTGTGGGTTGAGACCTCTGAAACTGTGAGCCCCCACATAAACTTTTCCTCAGTCTATAATTGTTCTGGTCAGGTCTTTTAGTCACATCAGCCAAAAGGCTGACTAAAACAGTTACTAACCATTTATAGCTACACTGGGACAGGAAAACAAAAATGTATAGCTACTTACATCTGATAGTTTCACAAGGTATTTCTCAAATCGAGGTAAGTTGAGATGTCCACTTTCATTAATATAACCTAAAAAGAAAAAAATCCAAATTTGTACTAAAAACTGACACGTTTTTCCAACAATTCTACAAAATTCTTTCCACAAGCCATTAAATGTCAATATTCTACTAATCAGGAAAAAACACTATTGGGCTTTATATAAAGTAGCCCTAGTTTCTTTGAGCTTTATATTCCTATAATATATAATATGTTTGTATAGAAGCAAAAAAAAAAAAAACAGGTTCACATGATAATCATCCTTCTATATTTCCAACCACACCTGGCAACAATTAAACTTTTCTAGAATCTATCCAGATCATTTCAATTTGATATGTCAGCTTGGGAAAAAAAACTAATGTCGTGTTACTCTGTTGTATGTTTTATTCAGCATCACTACTGTCTCCATATTTCACTTTAACTGAAAAAATCTTTCCTTCATATTAAATACTCTAATGGATATCTATTTAGAAAAACTGAATTTTAGCCAGGTGCAGTGGTGCATGTCTGTAATTCCAGTGGCTTGGGAGGCTGAGACAGGAGGAGGATCGAGGGTTCAAAGCCAGCCTTAGCAGACGCAAGGTCTAAGCAACTCAGTGAGACCCTGTCTCTAAATAAAGTACAAAACAGGGCTGGGGATGTGGCTCAGTGGTTGAGTTGCCCCTGAGTTCAATCCCTAATACCTGCCTCAAAAAAAAAAAAAAAAAAAAAAACCAACAAAAAACTGAATTCTACATTTAAATACGAAAGGAGTTAAGTGAAACCAACAAGTTCCCTTGGCTTTCTCAGGAAACTAAAATTAAATTAAAATTGAAAATTTTAAATTATATTTTCTTAGGAAATTTTTATATTAGAGTTATTGTGAGGTATCAATAACTCTGATCACTTTCTTTCCTTGGGAATCATTAAAAATGACAACCTCATTGCTTGTAACCTTAGGCTTTAGTTTAGTTGGGCTTGCAATTATTTAATGAATGAGTGACATTTTTAGGGTAAGACACTGCTAAATTAAAGTAGCCTCAAATGAATATTAAATTTTCTTGGGCTGGAGATGTGGCTCAGCGGTAGCGCGCTCGCCTGGCATGCGTGCGGCCCGGGTTCGATCCTCAGCACCACATACCAACAAAGATGTTGTGTCCGCCGAGAACTAAAAAATAAATATTAAAAATTCTCTCTCTCTCTCTCTCCTCTCTACTCTCTCTTTAAAAAAAAAAAAAAAATTTTCTTACCCCCAAGTTCTGGAAGGATGGTAATATATGTTCCATAAAGAAGAGGCAGTGCATCATGATTAATATGTAAATGAGGTAGATGAGGGATAAAATCATTGCCAACCAGAAATCCCATCAAAATCCAATCATCTATAATTCTTTCAATATCATATTTAAACGTGATCTTTGCCTAAGGTAAAATGGAAAACAAAGTGAAACCCTGTACAGATTTCTGCATACAAAACCTTGGCCCATGGCTATGTTAATACTTACTTTTAACACTGAAAACTCATAGTCAATATATTCTCTCATTAAAGACAAGTGTAAAAGGTGAAATGTGGTTTCTTCTGGTGCACACACCCTGTAATCAATCAGATGATCAAAACAGAGTAAATTACATTTTAAGCTCTAAGTTGAAAAATGTAGCAAACCTTAAATCATAATTATCATTAGGAGACAGTTAAGTCTTGTAATTAAAGCATATAATTTATGTAAAAGTAAAAATAATGTAACATAGTAAAGTTAAAAATAATTGGCTTATATTATGCCTTTTGTAGAAGGAATCTCAGCATTCAGAAGTCTCAAGTAATATATAATAAAACTAAGAAACCAGTGACCTGGCTCATTTAAGGTTAGCCATTAAGAGAAAGCACACATAAGAGTGAATACATATTTTTACATCTCTTTCAGTGTAGTCCAAGGCACAAGGTGAGGCTTTCTCTTCTTTCTCTTATCTGAATTGGTGAAGGGTTCTATATTCCTGATTATCAGCCTATAAACTGTATTTAACTATAAGTAAGACTACAAAGAAATGATAGCAAATTAAATAGCTCATATGCCATTCATTCACAAGCAAGATTTATCCCAAGAATTCAAGTATAGTTCAACATGAGAAAATTAGTTTAATACATCACATTGATAGAATTAAGGGAGGGCTGGGGTTGTGGCTCAGCGGTAGAGCTCTTGCCTAGCACGTGCGAGGCCCTGGGTTTGATCCTCAGCACCACATAAAAATAAGTAAATAAAATAAAGGTGTTAAAAAGTATTCAGCAAACTAAGATATGAAAAGACTTTCCTTAGTATGATAAAGGGCATTTATAAAAACTCAGTTAATGTTTTCCTCTACGGTAAAAGAGTGAAAGCTTTCCTCTTAAGATCAGGAACAAGAAAAGGATGGCTACCTTACCACAGCTATTCAAACTACTACTCAACACTTTTCTGGAAGTCCTAGCCAGAGCAATTAGGCAGGAAAAAGAAATAATGGGAATTGAAATTGAAAAGAATGAAGTAAAACTAAATCTATTTACTGATGGAATAATTCTACATAGAAAATTCCATAGAATACACACACAGACATACATACAAAACCTAGTAGGGCTAAAGAACTAATTTAGCATGTATGGAGGGTATGAGATCAGTACCCCAATATCAGCTATATTTCCATATAGCATCAATGAACAACCTGAAAAGGAAATTAAGAAAATTATTCCATTTATAAAAATATTCCAAAGAATAAATACTTAAGAGTAAACATAACCAAAGAGTTAAGACTTGTACACTGAAAACTACAAAATGTTGAAAGAAATTAAAGGAGAAACAAGTGAATGGAAAGACATCTTAGGTTCATGGCTTAATACCAAGATGCTCAAAGAGATCTACAGACTCAATGCCATCCCTAGCAGAATCACAAAGATGTTTTTCACAAAACCAGAAAAATCTATCCTAAAAATCATATGGAATTTCAGGAAACCCTGAGTAGATGGACAAAACACTCTTGAAAAAGAATAAAGTTGGAGGTTGTACTCATACTGATTTCCACTACAAAATTACATTAATCAAAACATGGGTACTGGCATAAAGATATATAGACCAATGAAGTATAATGGAAAGCCCAAGAAATAAATCCTTGTATACCATGGTAAAATGACTTTCAACTAGGGTCCAAGAGACTCAACAGGGAAGGACAGTCTTTCCAACAAATCTTGCTAAGAAAATTGGAGAGCCACATTAAAAAGAATGGAGTTGGGCCTTTATTTTTGCCATATACAAAAATTAACTCAAATGTACTAAAGTCCTAAATGTAAAGTTAAAACTATAAAACTCAGGGCTCAGGATGTAAATCAGTAGTATAGCTCTTGCCTAGCTTGTGCAAGGCCCTGGGGTTCAAAACCCAGTGCTATGCAAAATCCAAACAACAGCAACAACAAACCTATAAAACTCTTAGAATAAAACATAGGAAATAATCTTTATAACATTGAATTTGGTGATGATTTCTTGATATTACACTAAAAGCTCAGGCAACAAAAAGAAAAGATAAATTGGATTATATCGGAATTAAAAACTTTGGTGAATCAAAGGACACTATGAACAAAACAGATTACATACCTGTTAAGGGATTATAATCCAAGCTAAATTTCTGTTCTTTCTTACAACATGAATGCTATGTGATTTACCTTTGTGTTTTTTTGCCACCAAATCGAACTTCTTCTCTTAAAAGAGAAAAATGTGCCTCGTGACTTGTTAATCCAAGCATGATCTATGGAAAAATTATTATGAAATGTTTCTCTTCTCCCATTTTTTCTAGTATTATATTCACAAAGGCAATTAAATGAAAACATTTCTATATAGAGAATAAATAAACAATTACCATATTAACACACAAATATCAAAGTATGATCAAGTTGTAGAATATGAACAGGATAGTTTAAGTGTACTTTTCTTTTCTTCTGGTGGTACTAGGGGATGGAACCCAAGACCTCACACATCCTAGACAAGTGTTCTACCACTTAGCTACATTTGCAACCCTTTTTAATTTTTTTTTTTTTTGGGGGGGGAGTCCTGTGAAATTGCTCAGTCTGGCTTTGAATTTGAGATCCTCCTGCTTCAGCCTCCAAAGCAGTTGGGATTACATGCCTGTTCCACTGTACCAATGTGCTCAACAAAGTAAGTGTATTTTTCTAGGAAAAACATTTTCCCCTTAAGAGTCCTATGACCTTTATAACTGCCACTCTGTCCTTTCTCACTCCTTTCCCCCACAACCTTCTCTTGGTTTTCACACGTTTCTACTTGCCATGAGAAAATGGGTTAGAATTTAGAGGCAGCAGCTTTTTAATGATAAAACGTAGGGCTCTTTTGGAGGTCAAGATATTTCTAGCATGTAAAAAATACAGAAAAAAATGGAAAAGGGCACCTTCAACTAATTTTACATTGTGCAATTAGGGAGACAAGAATACTAATTGGTTATTTATATATTAAACAATGATGTTAATTTTTGTTTTATGTGGGATAATGGCATTGCAGTTAAGTACTTTAAAAAAACCAACCTTCCCTTTTATAGAACCATTATGAAAATATGTATAGATTAAATGATATAAATATCTGGGATTTGCTTCAATAATCCAGAATGGTAGGAGAAAGAGCAGACAGATGGTTAAGGATAGGAGTTAAAAATTAATATTAAAGGTAGATGAAGGACACGAGGAAGTTCATTATGCTACTTTGGCTATTTTTGTTTAATTTTAAAATTTCCATAATAAAAAGTTAAACAAAAAAAAGGCTAGTAAAAGTATTGGGGGTGGAGGGCTGGGGTTGTAGCTTAGTGGTAGAGCACTTACCTAGCACATGTGAGGCACTGGGTTTGATCTTCAGCACCACATAAAAATAAAAAAAAAATCTTTAAAAAAGGTATTGTGTTCATCTACAACTAAAAAAAAGAAAGTATCTGGGGCATAAAATTTGCCACATCAGTAGGTATTAAAAGTCACAGAACCTTGAAGAGATTCTATGAGAGGTTCCCCTTTCTATAACTTCACTATTTATACTACTAGGGTCAGTAGGTCTGTAGACTAACTATAGAGAACATAATATGTTCCTTCCCCCCCCTCAAAAAAAAAATCATTTTCCAACTGTTTTAGAACTTTGGTAAAGACAAAAGTAGGAATCATTGTTTTTTGTATTTATTAACAAAGCCAATAAGATTCCTATATAAAACTGAGTCTCTTAGATATTTACCTACAATGACATAATCTTATAATAACAATAAAATATTATACCTACCAAGTCAGCATCTAAACCATAAAGACAGTGTCTGGTGTTTGGATCATGATCTGGTTTTGCTTTCTCGGATCTGATAAATTCCATGATTTTATGCTCTCCTTCTCCGGGTGTCTAAATACAATGTTTTTAAAAAGTGTGGTAATATGTTATGGTTGAGAATATTACATAAACTTTAAAAATTTATTTTAAATAAAAAAAGATGGTAACCTCATGGCCTGAGAAGTAGATGGTAACTCCTTGCCATGACTTGTCTGTGGAAATTTTCATATTTACAAAATATTTCAGATGTTCATGTAACCTAGCCATGAATTCTGTCCCTATAAATAAAAAGTTTAAAGAAGATTAATCTGAGAAAGAAATGAAAACAGTGAATTCCCAGTGACAACATATAATTAGATTTGGATGTCCAGGAAATAGCTAGGTACAGGATCTTTGAAGGTTAAAAGCCTCCTTCTTTATTGTGAAAGAACAAAATGTTGTACCATTCTCTTGCAAATAATCACAGCTGCTTCAAATCTTGATAGTCACCAAAATGACTTCAATGTCACAAAGGGGAAGTCAAGAAATTTTAACTACTAAGGAGTATGCTTTGTGTATTTTTACACAAATGCAGAGTTTGCACACTAATGAACTTCAACTTTCTACTTCTTTTGTTAAATTCTTTAGTATTTTTGTAAGGCATGCCAAAAATAACAGTGACAAAATATTATCACTATTATTAATCTGAAAAATCATTAATCTGGAAAATTAGTCTACAATGATTATAGTTTAGGAAAAGCCCAGATGATCGATACTCAAAGGCAATATAGTCATACACTATAATCAGGATAAAACTAGTAATGTGCATCTGAGACATTTAACCAAAGAGAAAATTGCTATTCATAAGGAAGTTAGATTTTTTTAAGATTTATGTTCAAACACAATCTCCTAAGAATATAAGTATGCTACTGAATGTAAAATTAAGTTAAACATATTACTGATAGATTTATTTTCCTTAAAGTCACAGAAATCTTATTTGCTTTTGAGAGGTGGAGTAGTAAACTCTCTGGATTAGGAAAATGAGTGTCTCATCCTGGAACCATAAGGCAGCAACATGAACTTGATAAGTTACAACTTCACTGACGATTTCATACCAATAAATGGCAGAATCAGGACTGAAGGATTTTATGTTTCTTCTAGATTTGGAATTCTGTTTACATGTGGAAGTCCTGCCCATATCCACTTTTTTTAACATCTGAAAATTCCTAGAGAGGGTCTCTATAGGAGCACTTATGACCAAATCGTCTCATGAATAGACATAAGTGGGAAAATATAGCAAATGGAACCTTAAGACCAAAATAAGTCTGGAAAATAAAAATACGCTCGAAAAAATAAATTTTCTATTTATATTTTAATTCATTCAGAATTTTTCTCTCAGTGAATTTACCTGGTGTAATACAGTTGGAATCAAACCTGGCCTCTGTAGGAAGAGTTTCTCCCTTTTCTATTGCCTTTTTTATTTTGTCTTCTGCCTCCTTGGCTGACCTTAAAGGTTAAGGGAAAAGAGCATCTTAAACTTGGTGAAAAGAAGTAAAGATCTTTATACAAACTGTTATTTAGGTGCTTTTAAAATCAAAATACAAATTCATCAATTTTAAGGTTCAAAAAATACAAGTTTTGAAATAGTTATAACTGATAAATATGAGCCTCAATTCTTTTGATGTAAAGAATTGAGTTTTTCACATAAGGACTATAGAAGTTCGATACTAAACCAGCAAAACAGACAGAAATTTAAAAATACTTATGAAGTAATTCTTATCACAAATATACTGCAAATTCATTCTAGAAATGACTTAAAGCACTGCACGGCTTTAAACATTCCTTATATACACATTTAAGAATATCATTTAATGATCTTATTCATTTTATGATCTTAAATGTCATCAATGATCTCTGAGAATAATACATAAGCAATTATAAAAAAATTCTCACATATCTTTGTATTTCTTCCTAAAAATATTTAAAATAAAAGACTAGGGGCTGGGGTTATGGCTCAGTGGTAGACCGCTTGTCTAGCATGTGTGAGGCACTAGGTTCAAGTCTCAGCACCACATATAAATAAATAAAGATCCATCGACAACTAAAATAAATAAATAAATAAAAAGAAAGTCTAAGAGTATTAATGACATCAATTGCCAAAGTTATCTCATTTTTTATGGTAACAGAAGTTGCTAGAAACAATATGAGCTTTGGAGTCAGAACTGGATTTGAACACAGATGCCCCAATTCCTACTGGTTTCCCCTCTAACCCCTTTGCAGCACACCAGAATGCCACATGGCATACAAGTTAAGAAGCTCTGCCTCGGGCATACTTTCTACAGAATTGCTACTAATTCTATCTACTATGCTCTGAATTCTGTTTTCATGAACAAATTCTTCCTCCTATTTAATGTCTCTCTTGCCAAACTCAATATAACAAAAACTCAAATAACACTAACTCATTTGTAACCTCTGCAGTGTATTCTTTCCTCTTTTCTTCTCTTCTCCTTTAAATGAACAAATGACTATTCAATGCAACTATGTGGTAAAATCTTGGGATATAACAAAAGAGAAATGACTCCAGGTCTCAGAGATTATACTCTAATGGGGAGACAGAAAATTACATAGCCATATGTTTAATTTGAATGCAATATGGAAAATGTTTGGGATAAGGAAAAGGTAAGACTATTAGGCAGACAAGTACATGGTACTGTCATTCACTGAAACAGGAAACAGAAGGAGGGCGGTTTTGAGAGGAAGGTGAGTTTAGTGTTGAACATGTTAAGTCTCAAGGGTAGCAAGCATTTGGATAAAAAGGAACTTGGGAGAGAACCACCAGAAAGATAAATTTGGGAGTCATTAGGATAGACAGAGTAATTAAAGCCACGAGTGGATCACTCAGGGCCCAGGAGAGAACAGTTAAAAATATTAACATTTTACGAAAATCATGGCTGGGATTGTGGGTCAGTGATAAAGTGCTTGCCTAGCACATGTGAGGCATTGGGTCCAATTCTCAGCACCACATAAAGAAAGAAAAAAGAAAAAGAAAGGTATTGTGTCCATCTCCATTTTAAAAAGATATATTTTTTTAAAGAAAGAAAATCAGGAAGGAAAAGAGACTACGAATGTACAGACAAAGAAATAATATGGTTTTAAGAAGGCCAAGGAGGGCTGGGGATGTGGCTCAAGCGGTAGCGTGCTCGCCTGGCATGCGTGCGGCCCGGGTTCGATCCTCAGCACCACATACCAACAAAGATGTTGTGTCCGCCGAGAACTAAAAAATAAATATTAAAAAAAAAATTCTCTCTCTCTCTCTCTCTCTCTCTCCTCTCTCACTCTCTCTTTAAAAAAAAAAAAAAAAAAAAAGAAGGCCAAGGAATGAGAGAAGTTCAAAAAGAATGATCAGCACTGTTAAGTGCCATGGACAAATAAAGAAAGAATTATTCTTTGTATCTGGCCATAATCCTATGATCTTATAATGAAATTTTAGGGGAATAAAAGTCAGAAGATTTAGGAATAAYACATGTAGAATTATACATTATGAATGGAGAAAACATTATGTAAGGAATGACAGTTGATTGGGGATTTCTGGGAAACATGAAATACTTAATACCAGCAGAGTATTTAGGAAAGGTTATGGTGGTTATAGTGGATTGGGCCTTAGCCTCCATTCTATTCTCCTCCTTCTTTGCTTTCTAATATTAGAGTGGTTGCAAAGCTTAAATAAATAAATAAATAAATAAATAAATAAAACTCAAGCTCCCCTGCAGTTAGGTTTCAGGATATGACTCGATTTTTGACAATGAGATGCTTCCATAAAAGTTTTGGAAGTGCGGTGATACCTACCAACAGTTGAGGCACAGTGGCCATAGGGGATGTGTGCATTTCAGCAATGGTAGAGGAGATTCCAGTATTGAATAGGTTTATGGTGATGAGAAGGAAGGAGTAGCATCTGTGTTTTCAATAAAAGCACTGGGGTTGTGGAGCTAATAAATGCTGTGGTGGCCTCCTGAATGCTAAATTATAATGACAGTGATATATCCTTGGAGCTAATAGTTTTGGTGGTAGCTTAATCTCTGGATCACATCAAAGAGAATAAGTTTCTGGAGATACCCATTCATGTATCTTTCTGCTTAAGTTGGTCTGAATGTTTCCTATTATCTTCAAGTGAACCCAGACCAATGCAATGGGTTTATATAATCCTTCCTTAATATCAGATTTTCTAGGCTAGTGGCTCACAAAAACTAGTTTAATAAATACCAGGGGAGTCTAGTTAAAATGGTTCCAAGGAGTTTCCTAACTCCTAGAGAGTCAGATTAATAAGTCTTGAGTGGTACTTGAGAATCTCAATTTTGGTATTAGAAGGATCTTTCCTTCAAGGATCTCACAGTCTTTCTAAGACTTCCAAGTATCTTTTTACTTTTGATATTAAATCTGTATTTTTTGTCATTCTTTTATTCTTACTGGAAGCCTTATCCAGGGCACTCTCCCACCTTCTTTGATGACTTCCACATCTAATGCACAGGTGCTCTTTCCACTCTTTAAGCTGTCATTATGATTAAAGGATTCATTATGCTAGTGATCCATCCAATTCTCTTGATTCAGGGTTCCTCGCCTTGGGTTGTGACAACCTTCTTACTTTTACTTCTGTTATTCATAAACAGGGACATAGCTTGATCTCATTGTTACTTAGAAATATTTTACATGTCCAGGAATTTGCCTTTAAGATCCTCTTTATGTTTTTAATCTCTTCTCATCCTTTACTTCTATACAGTGGTGCTGATAATATCCTGAGTATCCTAATTCAACTCTCTTCCCACAGTCCATCATCACCTTCTGATCTCACTTGTCTTTCTGCTCCATTAAGTTCCATACTCATTCAAAGTCAACATTTATCTCAGGGTCTGGTTATTTAATAAATGTTAATTTAAATGTCAATAATGTTCTTATGAAAGCAGTCTCTTGGTTCACTCTAGTTAACAACTCAGAGTAAACCAGTATAACAACTATTATAACAACTTTGTTTTACAACTATTATTTTCAAATTATCAAAAAGAAGTTTGAAAACCTTGTGATGGAGAACAACTGAGCAACTATATAAAATCCAACATACACTTTGTGAAATGATACCTCATTTGAATTTCTAGCTCATTATCATGAGATAGTCCATTTGTGGAGGAATTTAAGCAAATATAAACATGATTAGAAGATACGTTGTTTTAGGTCAGTTATTTTTGAACATTTTACCTAAAACGCCTCCCACGCTGCTGGTTCATTTTTGCTCGAGGAGCCACACCATCCACAGCCATGAAGAACACTTTTCTAGGTTTAATAATGCGAAACAACACTTCCAAGTAGTGAAAAATGTCAGTAAAGATTTTATCATCTGAAATTCTGAAGTGAACATCATCATCATTAGGATGGGAGCACTGATGAATAATTCCATTCATATCCAGGTACAAGTTATCAAATTCAGGAATCTAAAAAAAAGAAATATACTTATTATACTCATTAATTAGAATCAACCACAGATATGTTGGCATTTGGGAAAAGTGATTATCAGCAGGGTACAGTGGTGTACACGTATGATCCCAGCAACTTGGGAGCCTTAGGCAGGAAGATTGCAAGTTCAAAGCCAGCCTCATCAAATTAGCATGGCCCTAAGCAACTTAGTGAGGCCCTGTGTCAAATAAAAAAGGAAAAAAGTAATTATCAATGATAAAAAACAAAATATAAAAAAGTGGCTAAAAAAATCACAGTTGAACAAAGAAAGCAAGGAAAAATCAAACAGGAAGAATTAGTAATATTGAGACATATGATTAAGAAGTGTACTAAAGACTTGATCAAATTTGCTGTCAGGCAATTATCTACTTATTCAAAATAAGATACCTCAGGAAAACACCAAATGCAGTGCTTGGATCATTTGGTACTCAAAATATTAATTTCTTTCCTTTTTTCTACATATTAACTTCTCAGATCCTTGGTTTCCTTTGTAAATGGGTAACATTTACATCAAACAGTTGAGCATACAAGGTTATTGAGAAGTTTAGCAAGTGATTTAAAGCCTAAATGGATATTTGGTTTTACTAAAACAAAGCCACCTGATTTGGTTACATTTTAAAAATATTAGATCATGCCAAGAAATTTAGGAAACCTGAAGAACTGATTTCTTGTTTGTGATACATGGCTTAAATGATTTCTAAACTTTGACCAAGAGTCATCTGCCTTCATAAAAAGACCTTAACAGTTCTGGTTCTTGTTTATTTTTTTCTCTACTTAAATGTTTCTGAGCAAGTAAAGGAACACCACTGAAACAAATATACACTAACAGGGAACTGAAATTGGTGCAACTAAACAGTTATAATATTTAGCATAATCAAAGAATTTTAGCCAAGTGCTTGGGAGGCAGAGGCAGGAGGATTAGCAAGACCTTGCCTCAAAATAAAAACAAGCTGGGGATCTAGCTCAGTAGTAGAGCATGCCTGCGTTCAATTCCCAGTAAGAAAAAAAAAATTAGACCTACTTTACATATTAATTAAATAAAATATGGACAATCTTATATAAATCCAATGAAAACCACTTCTGAAAGTGTAATTCAGTAATCTGAGTTTTAAAACAGGTAAGGACACATACTTCTATTACTGACAAAATAGCACACCTTTAAGTTATAAGGGTGAAAACTTTTGGCTCTTGAAACAATGAATGCTGTAAAAACACTTATAGAAAACTAAGCATCATGTAAAATTTTATGTGTGTTCTTAATGAGTAACAAATAGGCTCAACTGAAATAATAGTTGTGATCATAAGATTTTTAACATGTGTTCAAGATTTACTAATTGTTTGAAATCTGAAAATCTCAATCAAAATCTCAATGTAATTTTGGGGTGGTACGTAAAAATGATTCCTAACTTTCCTAGGAGAATAACTATGCAACATAAGCCAGGAAGAGAATTAAAAACAAGAGTAATGAAGGAAAATTTGCTGTCAACAAATTGAAAGTAATAAAACAGTCTGAAGCAAATAAGTTTGAAATAGAGTGGGTATATATGGAAATTTAGTATGTAAGAGGCATTTCAAATCAGCCAAAGAAAGAAATGGTGTCATATCTAACTATATGGAAACAAAACTGCATCTCAACTTATAAGAAAATTCTAGAGGAGCCAGGCACAGTGGCACATGACTGTAGTCCCAGCTACTTGAGAGGCTGAGGTAGGACTATTACTTGTGCCCCAGAGTTCTAGGCCAGACTGGGCAATATAGCAAGACCCAGTCCCCACCTCCCCCTACTAACCACCACCAAAATGCAGAAGGATTAAAAATTTCATTGTGAAAAATATAAATTAAAAAAAGAAAAAAGTGCCGGGCATGGTGATACATGCCTATAATCCCAGCAACTCGGGAGTCTGAGGCAGGAAGATCAAAATTCAAAGCCAGTCTCAGCAACTTAGCAAGTCCCTAAGCAACTTAATGAGACCCTGTCTTAAAAGAATAAAATTTTTTTTAAAAAGGGGGGGAGGTGGTGTTTGAGAATGTGACTAAGTGGCTAAGTACTCCTGGGTTCAATCCCCAGTACCAAACCAACCAACAAACAAAAAACAACATATACACAGTACACACAAAAATATTTTGACAATATTAGGGTAGAAAAGCCCCCAAACATGAAGTAAATAAATAGTGAATTAGCTATCTAAAAATTTATTGTTGTAAATCTAAAAGGTCAAAAAAGTACCAAACAAATTCAATTAAAAATGACAAAACATAACCAATGTGATTCTGCAATTTGTATTTGGGGTAAAAATGGGAGTTCATAACCCACTTGAATCAAATGTATGAAAGATAATATGTCATGAACTTTGTAATGTTTTGAACAACCAATAAAAAAAAAGACAAAACAGAGAAAATATTTTGCAAATGAGGACAGTCAATATTCTTAAGATATAAAAAATTCTTAAAACGAAGAAAAAGAGCAAATTTTACAAGTATCCATTAAAACCTGAAAACAATTAAAAAAAGAAACACAAAACTCTAATGAGCCTAAGAAAAGATGTTCATCCAAAAGTTTTGAAGTATAATGGTGTAACATTTTTTCCACATATTAGTAAAACTGAACAGACTGATATTGCCCAGTATTTACAAAGCTTTGGGGAAATGCAATTTCACAGGTTATTAAAAGTAATAGCTGACAGTAACTGTGGACTTACTATGTGCTAAACACTAGGCTAACTATTTACATTAATTCTCTTAATTATAACAACCTTAAAAATAAATATTTATTATCTCTATTTTAGAAAAGAAAGTCACAGTCCTAGGAAAGAGAAATGGAATCTATATCCAGTCGTTTGAAATGGGAATAATAAATTGAAATAACTAATTTGAAAGTATGTATCGATATTTGAAAACATGTATATCTTTAACTGAGGAGTTGTATGAATGTAAATTTATCCTGAGAATCATCAGAAATGACTAATTTATGAATATGTAAATATAAAAATATCCATGGCAGGTCTGTTCAGAAAAAATTTTTAAAAAAATGAAAAACAATCTAAATGACTAATAATAGAAAACTGATGACAGTATACAGTGAAATATTACATATCAATTAAAAATTATGATAGAGATTCATATTTATTATGGAAAAATGTCTACAAACATAAGGCCAGAGACAAAAGTAGGACAGAAAAAAAGCAAATAGGATAATTGTAGAAAATATTTATTTATATGTGTTTCTGCATAGAAAACATAGGAAGTATATAGAAACAACATTACTAGTTCTACATGAAGAAATTTTAGTTGCTTTTTAGTTTCCTCTAGACTATGTGATAGTTTTTTACATCTAAACACTATAATTTTTCTGTTAGAAAAGAAATGTTTTAAAAATTCTCTTAGGTTTCAGATTAGTAAAACACAAAAGGAATAAGCAACCATTGGCCAACTTGACAAAGTGAGAAAAAAATAAATGAGAGCCAGAATAATGAAAGTGTTTTTATAAAAGTAGATGCCTGTTAGTCAAAAGTTTGGAAGTAATTTAATAAATAAATCACAAACAGGAAATCAGTTTAAAGTTTCCTAAATTTGTTGACATAATCTAAGATTCTAAAAATTAAATTATGCTGGGCGTGGTGGTGCACATCTTTAGTCCCAGCTCCTCGGGAGGCTGAGGCAGGAGGATCACAAGTTCAAAGTCAGCCTGAGCAAAAGCAAGATGCTAAGCAACTCAGTGAGATCCTGCCTCTAAATAATATGCAAAATAGGGCTGGGATGTGGCTCAGTGGTCGAGTGCCCCTGAGTTCAATCCCTGATATTCCCCTAAAAAATAAAAATAAAATTGAAATTATATAATTATTATGCACCAATAAAAATAAATGCAAAACCTTAAAAATTAAATTCACAATTATCATTATCATTATCTTCTCTTTCCAGTTATTATATTTGTATGTTAGAAATTTTAAGGTTGGGCTGGAGCTGGGGCTCAGTGGTGGTGTACTTGCCTGGCACGTCTGAGGCACTGGGTTAGATTCTCAGCACCACGTATAAATAAATAAAGGTCTACCAAAAACAACAACAAAAAAAATTAAAAAAAAATTTTTAAAGTTATTTTATACTCTCCACCTCTCCAAACCCATATCTAATTAGTCACTGAGGTATTTTGTTTTCTAATTTAGCATCCAAAACATTTCTAGAATCTTTTCATCCTATCCATTCCTATTGTTTTAGGCGATCTCATCTTTTTCTCTAGTCCCAGATCTGCACTGGTTTAGGCGGGCAGTTTTCCAATGGGACTGCTCGAGTCTAGGTTTGTCTCACCATGGCTTAACCATTTCTTCTAAAACATAATCTAATCATTCCTTAAACCCATAAGATACTACAAATCCTAATACCATAAAAGGTCCTGTATGATTTGGCTATTTTTCCCATCAATCCTACATTCTTTTCCTGTTTCCAGATATGCCCTACAAGCTAGACACTGTGAATTAAACACCTGGGCTGTTTCAAACCTCTAAGACTTTATAGATGCTATTCCTCTTTTTGCCTCAATGCTTCTTTGCCTCAAAGCTTCTTCCTGTTCTTCCCTCCACTAATTTTCTCATCCTTCCAGATTCAGCTCAGGCACTTATGTCTGTTTTGTTTTCCCTATGAAGGGGAGATGATACTCCTTCTTTATGCCACATCTTGAACATGTCTCCCTTACTTCACTTAACGAAGCAATTAAGCACTCTTTTTTTTTTTTATGAGAGAATTTTTTTTAATATTTATTTTTTAGTTTTCGGGGGACACAATATCTTTGTTTGCATGTGGTGCTGAGGATCGAACCCTGGCTGCATGCATGCCAGGCACGTGCGCTACCGCTTGAGCCACATTCCCCAGCACTCTCTGAATGATAGTTTATGCTACTTCTGGTTTTCAAATCTGTTTTGAGATTCAGCATCTTGAGAACAGGATGCTGTATCTTATTTTTGTGTTCTCAATGCATATAATAGTG